CAATAAACTTGGATTTATTGGATCTAAGAAGGAAAAAGAGAGAGAAATTAAGATATCAAAATACCTGGTGTTTCCTATCAACAAAATCTTTGATGTCCAACTTGAAATTCCTTAAGACCTCATTTCCTTCACATACCTTCCCTAGCAAAATTGCGTTCTATGACTCTTTCTTGACTAGAATCTCGATCTCTATAAAGTAAGAGAATATAGATGCAAGCAATAAAATTATTTGACATTACCTGAGAACAGTACTTGATCAGTTGAAATCTTCTTGTGAAAGACCTCCAAGACAAATAATCGTTCTTGATGCTCGCTCACAGTATCCTGCATAGACGCCTTACTCTAATCTCTGACAAAAAAGTCCAGCCTTAAGTGGAAACAACAGAAGTTCCACGCTGCATATTCTGGACCTTCACCATTCATCCCGCTTTTCTTCTCACACCACTAACATTCACAAGCGTGCTATCCCTGTACAAGTTCAAACATATCTCGCCTTGCTTCACTTTGTTGAGCACCAAGAGCGTTGGCTTAGATTTGATGCGATTGACAATCCAAGGTCCCAAGAGAACCTGCAGAAAAAAAGTCAATGGTTTTTATAAGAACAGACTATAGCATGCTTGCTTGCGGGGATGGCAAATATCCGCAACCAGGAGGAGGCAATTGGACTTGATAGTGGCGCTTCACACACTTTTCATCACCAATTCGTCCGATAACGATAAGAGTTTTAGTTTCATGTTTGTTTTCTCCGCCTAGAACGGTCTCTTTTCTTTCTGGTCTCTGCTTGTTTCTTTTTGTGTTCTCTTTTTGGAGCTTGAAGCTAGTGACACGATGGTTTCGCAATTACATACCTCTACAAATACAAGCTTTAGACGCACCCATGCGAGACGATAGACTACTAGTAAATTCACCACTGGCTGATGGTGCTATGGGCTCTTCAGGTTTATTCCTTTTGGCCATCTTTTGAATTCCTTCTCCTCAGGAGCTAGAGGTCGAGGAGAGACAAGCAGAGATGGCAGAGTTAGTCAGAGGAAAAGGATGAAAGTGAAATGAGAGTGAAAGGTTTGCATTTGGGATGATCTTTCTTGCCTCTTGTTTTTTTTTACAGATATTTCTTTTTTAGAAAAAATATCTACTAATGATCGTTCTCTATCTATGAGGTTGTCTTGCATTTGCTTCTCAGCTATGTCTTTTTTCTTTATTTGTTTGTGTTGATAACCTTGAGAATGTTGGGACTGCAAATGGTGGTTCATAGGATGTTATCTTGTCTACATTAGATCAGGTGATAGACTCTATTAATGAAAATTATAGTTATGCATATGGAAAGGCATTTGCATATTTTAGCGATATTGTGTCATTCCAAGTGCTTGTAGTTACATGGCTTCTCAACCCTATTAATGATGAAGGATATTGGAGTGGTCAATTTAATAGAAATAGTGGTGCTAGTAAAAACTAGTTTATACCAAATTTTGAAGGGAAAGGTTATGATGCTTTAGTGCCAATATTTTCTAGAAAAATACCTAAGATGTCAATAGAAAACCTTATAAACAAGACTAAGATTGTAGAAAAAATCCCTCAAGAATTATATGATTGTTGAATTATGTTTTCAAGCCTTATTTCTGGAGAGGACTATCTTTGCCGTTATAGAGCCTGGCACAGTGATATTTATATTGGAATAGTAATACTGGTAATGATAGACAATATGGCTGCAGATTATGGCTTCAAAACTGATGGTAATATGGTTCTAAGTGGATATTCAATATATACAATTAATAAATATTGTTCTCCATCACTATGCGAGCTACCATTCATTCTTATTATATAAATTTATTGTTGTATTGTATTTTATCAGGAGAAGTAGATTTTGTTGTCTATCATACATAATTTAAAGCTGGGATAATATTAATTAATTTATGAACTGAGATATATATCATTTGATTTATTATAAACTTTTCATTGGAGTTTTTACAACTTGGAATCATAAATCCAAATGTATCAGAGGATTAATCAATGATTCTGAATTTAATCAAATACAGTGTAAAAGGCAATAAAATATACTACAACTCTATGACAACCAAGCTCCCAATCACCCAATGGACACTCTATTTCATTTTGGTGACCCTCTAGGTTTGTTATTATTATTATGAATGCATGAATGTTTTACATTTTCTTTGTTCTTATAGAGGCAATCCTCATGACTTCTGACCACTATCGTGACCATAATGTTGGGGTCATACAAAGAAGACTAAAGAAAAACCCTAAACCCTAAAACCTGAACTCTTATATATATATACATACATATATATATACAGATATACATATATACATATATACATATATATATATATATATACAGATATATACATATATACATATATACATATATATATATATATATATATATATATATATATATATATATATATATATATATATATATATATATATATATATATATATATATATATATATATATATATATATATATATATATATATATATATATATATATATATATATTAAATATAAGCCCACTAAGTAACTTAATTGTTCAACTTCAATAATGAAGTGACTACAATATAATTGCTATATCCAAGAAGTATGTAAGTATGTATAGAACTTTTAAAATCCTAAATTACTATTAGACAATAGTAATGATCCAAATGCAAGACAACATACATATATTGTAATACTTTTACATTATATTTTCAATACTATTTACATATGGCAATGTTGGCAAAAACAAAAGATTATTCCTCAACTATTTCTTTTAAATACCAAGTTATACTTGTTATAGAGTAGTTCATCTTTACTAATTGTAATATAAAGATGATGTACATAATGGGATAACATTGACTAAACACACTCATGCTTTCTTGCATCAACACACATTTGAGACTAATACAATAAGTATTGTTGCACAAGATGAAATCTTAAGTATAGTCAAGATATGCTAAACCTAAAGGACTTTGTTAACACTTTTTTGAGTTCTATAGATGTTTGTTTGCACTTCTTAAACAAAAAAAAATGATGTTAATGACTTCAATAATACTTACAATAATGATCAATAAAAAGACCGAGATATTACACCTTATCACAAAAAATATAATACCTAAGATAAATTATATCCTTATATCCAAATATGCATTTTGACCATTTTAACTTCAATCCAACTTCTTGCAATTAATCAAATACTTTATAAACATTATAGATCTACTTCTCCCACTACTTCTTTGAGTGGATAAAGTTATCATTAATAATATTGACAATCACCTTTGGCATATTGTAAGGAAGCTATCCATCATCCATTGAAAATTTTCTACAACATTATTCAAATCTAATAGCATTATCAAAAATTTATACAAACTAAATAATGTAAACAAATAGTATTATAAACACCTTTGGGCATTGACACTTGTCAATACTCAAAAACAAAATCAAACTTAGTGAAACAATGACTTATCCTCAAACAATCTAGAAAATAAAAGTATAAGGAAAAGGATATATATTTAATATGGTCACAACATTTAATGGGTGATAATTAATATAAAACCAAATACTCTCATCAGGCTTCATCACAAAATGAAATTCACATGCCTAAAGACTCCAAAACTTTTGGATGATATTGTTTTCCAATATCTCTTTGACATTTGTTTATAAGAATTTTAATCTTCTTAAGTGATTGATGTTGATGACTAGTTAATCCTCCAGCTCCCCAACGACTCAATTGTATCTAGTTTATAATGCAGCAGCTATTGTCCACTGGAGCTCTTCCTCCAGTGTGTCGCCAACTTTACAAGGTGGAAGCTGGATCCACTCTGGCTACTTCTATCACTGCTAGTCTCATGCCTCATGATGAGAAGCATGGTGTGGTGAGAAAAGTTTTTCTACATGTCTCAGAATGATTGTATTATCCAGATATGGTGATAGGACTTCTTTTTCATTCTTTCCATTCTGCAGGAGTTGAGATGAAACTGCCATTGTAAAAAACCTCTTGTGAGTGAGATGTGGAGAGTGCAAATTTAAATAATTTCGGTAGAAAAGCTAATTTTCTTTGATAGAACATAGGACTGGATCTCCATAGGAGTTGTCAAGAAGTCATGCCCAGTGAATCACTTTCCTAGCACTGCTGGGCAGAATTCTTTGGATATGGAGTAGTAAGGAATGTTCAATGCACTGGAAGTGATTGCTAGGGATTACTCGCATTTAACAGATGAAATATTAAAATAGATTCTTAAAAGATACCATTTTTAAGGGTTCTTCTTGTCGTGCGAGTAAAGTAAGCCCTAGTCGTGCGAGTAAGCGAGAGCAAGTAAGTTTGTGTTTGTTTTTTCATGTGATCAACGATGGCAAGAGTTCTTCCTCCTTGGAGACCTGCTGGAGCTGCAAAGACGCTGCCACTGTCACCACGAGCGCTACGACGAACAAGTCCTGGTGCAGTGCCACCTCCTCCTCGGCAATCAGGGCAAGCAACTCCTCCACGAGCAGTTTCTCCTCGGTCACCACGAGTAGCAGGATCTGCACTGGCACCACCAAGCTCGCCACGATCTTCTCGAGCGGCTCCTCATCCTCCTCGGACCGTGTCGCCACCTCATCCTCCTCTGGCAGTATCGCCACCACGAGCGCTACCACCTGCTCACGGTCAAGAGACTCCTCCTCCTCCTCCGCGGGCAGTGTCTCATCGTCGGCTAGCACCACCATCTGAGAGCAAGGCTCCTCCTCCTCTTCGGTCAGTGTCTCATCGTCCGCTAGCACCATCATCTGAGAGCAAGGCTCCTCCTCCTCCTCGGCCAGTGTCTCATCGTCCGCTAGCACCACCATCTGAGAGCAAGGCTCCTCCTCCTCCTCGGCCAGTGTCTCATCGTCCGCTAGCACCACCATCTGAGAGCAAGGCTCCTCCTCCTCCTCGGCCAGTGTCTCATCGTCCCCTAGCACCACCATCTGAGAGCAACGCTCCTCCTCCTCCAGCAAGCAGCAACAATGCTCCAGGACGCCACAAGGGGATGCCGCCACAAGCTCATCACGGCCCAGCAGCTCCTCGGGAGCAGGGACATGTTCCTCCACATCGTGGCTCTGGACCTCATCACCGGAGGCGATCACGGTATGGCTCTCATTGCTCTATGGCTCCTGTTAACGTTGGATGTTCCAGGAGCAAACCACGGCGTCATGCTCCCCGTGCTAATACACCACCACCACCCTCTTGTCCAACGAAACATGGTCATTCTCCACCGAGGCGAGCTTCACCAAGCAACGCTCCTCCTCGGGCAGTGGCGCCTCATCCTCCACCATCTCACAGTCGAGAGCACGGGGCTCCTCCTCCTCCAGCAAGGGATCATCCAGCAGCGCCGCCTCCTCCTCCTCCAGGTCGCCATAGGGAGAAAGGGCCGCCACCTCAATCTCCCCCACACAGGCGCCCTGCAACTCATGGCACCGCTCCTCCACATCGCGGCTCGCCTTCAGGCGGGAGGACGCCTTCAGCTCGGTCGCCACCTTTCAGGTACTATGGGTTTTTTCATTGTTTGCCACCTGCTAAAAGATTTTGGTTTTTCAGGAGCAAACCACCTCCTACACCGTTGAGTGCTGGTTCGGAGACACCTCCTGCTCATCAAACCAGCGAGCATCCCGCAAATGGTGATGGAACTAGCAGCGGGGGGAATCCGTGGACGTGGGATTGGGATTGGGATCCAACCATAGAGTGGCAGCCTGGTTACGTCCCAGCTACCGGCAGCCACAGCAGCGGCTCCATCAGCCCTGCTCTTCCTCCTCCTCCTCATGGCGGGAACTCAGCTCCAGTGGTTGCAGGAGTGGCAGCAGTCGTGTGGATTCCTCTCGTGGGGCTCGTGTTGGTTATTCTTGTCCTGCTGCTCCTGGTTGTGCGGTCTTGCCTCCGCTGCCGCGAGAGGAACAGGGACGAAGTATTCATCTACAATGCTGCTGCGGCTTCCGATCGTTATTGAGAGTGCAACAAGGTTATGAAGAAGACTCTCTCTAGAATGAACTACACAACAACACATCTCTAAGAAAGGAGATCTCCAAGGAAAGGACTACACACAAAAACGAGAAGCAAGGAATTTGCAATGGATTAGTGCTCAGACATCTGTACTAAAAGGACCACACAGAAAAGCGAGAAGCAAGGCCTCAACATGTATGTCTACCGAAAGGACTACATAGAGACTACAGAAGCAAGGCCACAACATATATCTCAACAGAAAGGATTACACAGAGAGAAGAGAAGCAAAGCCGCAATATATCCCTATTGAAAGATGGCGAAGAAGAAACATTAGATTAGTGTGCGAAGTGTGGATTTGATTAGAGTGTGCAGTGTGGATTTGTTTGTAAAAGCTACAAGTTTTTGTCATGGAAATTATCTTTATTCACAAACAGCGCAAACAGCGCAAACTCTACAAAAACGCTTGAAAACTCGCTAAAGTTGAAGCGGCACCCAAGCTGCGTTTGAGGCTCGATGAAAGAACCGAGTGGATTGCGGCCTTGTTGAAAGCCTCGGTGGTATGGGTGCCGCCCCAGCTCGGTGAAGTTCCTGCCACTGACCACTCCCTGCGTTCCACAGGGAACTCGCGTATCATAGTTGTATGGCTTTCCAGTCCCGCAGCAAGCTTCTGGTCTGTTCTGAAACCTTGGAAGCAAAGCAAGAACGATTCGTAATTAGAGGAGAGGATCGTATAGCATGCCGGTTACCATTGCGGCCATGGCGACGTAGATAAGCCTCCGGACGGAGTCCCCAAAGCTGGTTCGCAGCACGTCTATGGTGACCCTGAGAAGCTCGTTGTGAAGAACTGTGATCCGGTTGTAGTTGATGAGGCAGCCCATGGGGTGGCGAAGCTGGTCAGGAACTCGGGCGGGCATCCCAGAGGTGGAAGATTGAAGACCATGAAGTTGGCCGCTCTGAAAGTCGTCGAGAGGAACTACACGAGGAAAAGTATTGGTGAGGTTAAAACACATCAGTCTAGAGGAAAAGTTACCAGAACAGTCACTGTGATGTTCTCCACGACGTGGGGGATTACAGTGCGCTCCGTCTTGTTCTCGCGGAAGAATGCGTATCTGTTGTTGTCGAGACCCGATTCCTCGTTAGCCAAATGCTGGTGATCTTGGCTGAGTGAAAAACCAAGTAGAAATGGGAGATATAAAATAACCAACTTACCAAGAGATTGATTCCCAAGAGCATCTCTCACGAGCCACTGGATCTGAGGCATGAGAGGGTATGGGTTCTGCCGAGATCCAATCGAGCTGGCAGGCCTCCCTCCTGGAAATTCGAGACACCAATTCCCAGCGCCTGAGCTGTGGATCGCCCAAAAGAAGATGAGATTCGAGCAAGGAGAATGATATTACCGACGACATCCAGCATCAGCCGCCCATCCGAGAGCCGCCGCTTGCAGTAGGAGAGGTTCCCGACATCGCCCCAATCGTCGCCAAAGCCGACGAGCACCTGTGGTAGAACCCTAAACCATCTCCTTCAGGAAAATTGGCGGGATAGAAAGGTCGATGAGGTTTCCATCGCTTGTCTTGCTCGTGTTGTGCGGCATTTTGGCGCAGGGGCACGGCGGCGGAGGCTTTTAGATTTCGAATTCCCGCCACTTTCAAAACTAGGGCTTACGGCTAGCTAGGGTTTATGCTATGGATCAGCAACCTAGAAGCGCTTCTGGAGGTGGCGGAATCATCGCCAGATCGCAAGAGGATCAGGCATTTCAAGGATCTGCCGCAGGTCCAGAGGCTCCATCGACTGATCTCTTCCAGCGATGACGATGGCAGGCTTGACGATGGAGATTTCTTCTTCGCGGGTAAGCTCCTCGACACGTACTTGAAATGTGGCGCGGTGGAAGACGCCAGGGACGTCTTTTCTCGTCTTCCTTCGCGGGGAGTGATAGCTTGGACTAGAATGATCGCCGGATTCATCGAGCAGGGTGATGAAGAATCAGCCATGATTTTCTACTTCCAGTGCAAAGAGATGGAGTCAAGCCCGACCACTTCACGCTCGTCACGATCTTAAATCTCTGTCAGGCTCCAGAGGATCTGGAGCTGGGGATTGGGATCCACAGGAGGATCGTGAGAATGTTGTGGTCGGGAATGCACTGATTGGGATGTACCCGAGGTGTGGAAGTCCAGAGCTCGCCAAGAGAGTGTTTGATAGGCTGGTTTACCGCGACTTAGAGACTTGGAACGGTATTCTCTCGGCCTTCTCTCAAGAACAGGATGGTTCCAGTGACACTTTCCAGATCTTCCGGACAATGCTGCTGGAAGGGACGGCTCCAAATCGGCGGAGTTTCGTCACCATTTTGGAAGCTTGCTCGAGCTCGAGAGATTTGTCAAAGGGACGGGAGATCCGTGTGGGTTTACAGGGCTGTGAACTCGACTCGAACAGCTTCGTAGCTGCAGCACTGATTAACTTTTATAGTCGGTGCGGGGATTTGGACGGAGCACGGAGAGTTTTCTCGGGAGTTTGAGAGCAAGATGTGGTTTTGTGGACGAGCACGGGATCAGCCAACTCACAACACGACCAAGGTGGCCTCTACAGAAGAATGCAACTAGAGGGATTCCATTCAAACGAAGTTACTACTCAATGCTCTTGCTAGCGAAGAGTTCTCTTGGGCTTTGGAAAGAGCTCGTGATGGAGGCTGGATTTATCTCGCACAGGTTTGTCCGCACCTCTCTCGTCAATTCTTTCGGGAGATCCGGGAGACTAGCCGAAGCTTGCAGGATCTTTGACGAACACTGCGATGAGAAGGAAATATTTTTATATTTATAAAAAAATAAATCTTCAGTGTCCACAAGGTGAAAAGCTAAATTACCTTCTTTGGATGAGGTTTGTGAAGCTTTAAAGGTTAAATTGTATCTTCAAATGCTTCATAGATATGAGAATTTGCTAATGAATTATTGTTTTGATATTTATATATTCTTAATATCACCTTAAAGACAACTTTTTTTACTTTGTGAGGATTGTTTTTTATGACCATTTAGATGTCAAGAAGGAAGCCCTTTCATATGGAAACATGTGTTTGCATACTGATATCATCTGGACAATGTTTAAGCACAACATCTAGAAAATTCACTGATGCTATCACAGTTAGCTTCTCAAGAATAGAAGGAAAAGAGAGAGAAGATGGCAGCATTACTATGAACTATTTCAAAGTTGTAAATTTGAAATTTCATAGCCTAACAAATAATAAAGCCAACCAAATTCTCCTCTCAATTAGCATTTAATCCTTCTATGCTATGGAGTAATTCATTTTTATCGGCTAAAATGTATAACCAATGTATGCAATTGGATGATGTTGAGCAAACACACTCATATTCTCTTGCATTAAAACACCATTGAGACCAATGTTACACACTAGCAAGATCAGCATAATCAGAAAATATACCAAAAATGGACTAGTCATGAGTTTACAAATGCCTGCTCATAATTTTCTGACCAAACCAAAGATGACATCTACATGCATCACAATCAGAGAGTTGTCTAATGAATTAATTTAGACATTGCATTTTGCCAAGAGAATGTTCCTCTTTGGCATACAATACAGGACTTCAGAATGGTCACAACTTTATCATAACAGACTTTGTCTGAAATACAAATAAATGGTTGACAAATTAAAACTTCATTTATTATATGAAATCAAACTTGATAAACCATCTCCACCCCATGTGTCATGCTAGGCAAATAAGGTGGTAAGTTTATAAAGTGACAATCCTTCAAAAATTGTGCATGTGCAGTTTCAAGCATGAACAAGCAAGAATGGATTACACTGCTTACTTGTCAATATTGCCTATTTTGACTTTAGTTTTTATCAGATTGGATTTAGTTTTGGGCTCCCATCAATGAAAAATAATAATAATAATAATCATAATAAAGAAAATGAAACTCTAAATGGATATACTCAACTTAAACCAAGATTATAATGAGGCACTAGCAATTTTTCCAGAGTAACCAAAATGCTCCAAAAGCTCCTCATTCTTTCTCCAATCTTCCTTCACTTTAACTTTGATCTACTAAGACAAAGTCGTAGAAATAAAGAGATTAGGGAATACAAGAACTCAAATACCTCCAAGTAGCATTTCCTATCAACAAAATCCTCGATGTCCAGACGAGCAGCAGTAGCCAGAGTTTTTAAAGCCTTTCCTTCCTGAAATTCTTTAAGAACTCAATGAGATCAGACTGGATTTTTTTTTTCTTCACATACCTTCCCCAGCAAAATTGCCTTCTGCGACTCTTTCTCGACTAAAATCTCGATCTCTATAAAGTCCTTTGCGGGTGCTTCCCTTTCAACGTAGCGCACTACATTGACCTGGTAGACAGAAGAGAAGTTTGATGCAAGCAATAAACTTATTCGAAATCACCTGAGAACAGTATGGGATCTCCTCCCGATATAGTTGAAAAATCTTCTCGCGGAAGATCTCCGAGACAAAGAAACGTTCTTGATGCTCGCTCACAATATCCTGCATAGAAGTGTTACTCTAATCGCTGAAGCAGTCCAGCCTTACCCGTGGATAGTATGCGGGGCCGAGTGGAAGCTTGGAAACCAGCCACTGCTTCACTTCTTCAATTCCAAGCCCAAACTTGGCGCTCACTGGTATGACTTCGTCCATCCCGCTGTTCTTCTCATACCACTAACATTCACAAGCCTGCTATCAGAACAAACACTTCAAGAATTCAACACACAGACATATTCAAACAAACGGTACCTCTTGCTTCTTTTGTATCTCGCTTTGCTTCACTTTGTCTTTCTTGTTGAGCACCAGGAGCGTTGGCTTGGATTTTATGAGATTGACAGCACCTTCATCCAGAGTCCCAAGAACCTGAGAGAGCGAGCAGGAAAAAAAAAGGAGTCAGCGAAAACCATGTTTTTTTGTAAGAATAGACTGTAACTTACTTGCTCAGGAGGATGGCAAATATCCGCGATCAGGAGGAGGCAATCGGAATTGATAGTGGCGCTTCGCACACTTTTCATCATCAATTCGTCGAGCTTGTGCATTTGTTTTGTGATCACTCCAGGCGTATCATACAGTATCATCTGAGAGGAGAGCACAATCAGTAGATATAGCAGCCAAGAACACACGCACGAGAAAAAAGAAAGAGCAAGAGACTCACTTGGTAGTTGGGACCAGAGCAAATTCCCAGAATTCGGTGGCGTGTTGTTTGCGGCTTTGCTGTGACAATGGAAAGCTTTTGTCCAATGATACCATTGAGAAGAGTGCTCTTTCCCACATTCGGTTTTCCTATGAGCGCAACGTATCCTGATTGGAATTTGGAGCAATCAGCCACGAAAGAGAGCAGGAAATCCAAGAAAGAATTACCACTGCGATGATCGGCCGCGACTTTCATGTCGTCGTGCGCGACATTCTCCCCATCCTCCTCCTGGTGGATAATCTCATCCGCAAGACTCTCGCGATTAGCCCGCTTCACGACCTCCTCCACCGCAGCTCTTCGATTGGGCTTCTCGGACAAAACAAATATCGTCTTCTCCTGCGGCTTCTCTTGATCATCCTCCTCCCTCACGGCGGCCCTCACCGCGACGCAGCAAATCGTCCGCCTGCTGCGCGGAAATCCACACTCCCTGTGAGGAAATCGCCATCCATCGCTCGCGAACGCCTCAGCAGCGAGCATCGCTCAGCTAGAACCCTAAATCTTATCTCCCGTGCTTTGATCCTGTCCGTCCATCTCGTAGCCGTTATTTCGGAATATAATCTAGGGCGACTTTGTCCACATGTCACTTGGGGCAATTGCTGCGGGTCTTTAGGCGCTGGATGAGCGATCCAAGGATCTAAACGAGTAAGTTTCTTGTTGCTAGATGGATCAATCACGCGATTGCCTGGCGATCCTTCAGATTGCGGCAGCATTTCGACCGATTTCGAGCCATGGACATCAAGACGCTCGAGGAGCTCGTCGCAGACGGCGATTCTAGCCTGGAGAACAAGAAGGAGGCGGTAATCCACTCCATTGAAGCGGGATCGAGAACAGATACCGAGAACAGCAGCTTGGAGCCTACTGAAGCTCTCAAGGTTTTCTTTGATCGGGTCCCTTTGTTCTCCATCCCAGGGATTGATAACGATAGAGGTATGGTTTCATGTTTGTGTTTGTCGCATGCCTAGAACGGTCTCTTACATTTTTATTTTTTTCTTGGTCCCTGTTTGTTTCTTTTTCTTCTTTTTGGTTCGTGGCTACAGTGGTGGAGCTTGAAGCCAGTGACACGATGGTTTCGGCGATCACATACCTGTACAAAAACAAGCTTTTAGGCGCACCTGTGCGAGACGATCGACTGCCAGTAAATTCACCACTGGCTGATAAATACATTGGACTCGTGGATTTTTCAGGGATGGTGCTTTGGGCTCTTCAGGTTTGTCACTTCTTCTCTTTTTATTCCTTTTAGCCAACTTATGACTTCCTTTCTTCTCAGGAGCTAGAGGTCGAGGAGAGACAAGCAGAGGTGGCAGGATTAGTGATCACTCAACGAACCAAAACTGCGTCACAGGCCAAGGACAAGGAATTTAGTGAAAAGGATGAAGGTGGAATGGGAGCGAAATTTGTGCAGTCCGGATTTCTTGACTTGATTCAACAGCTCGATGCTGTCAAATCTGCAAAGGTATAAATTTCCAGGTAATCTCGATTTTGTTAATGAACCGATAAAAACTTATTTGCGCCTGTGTGTAGTTGGGAACTCTAGCACAGTCGTTTCGCTGGGGGCCATTTCTACCGGTTAAGCACGATGATACACTCTTGCACGTATTGCTGCTACTGTCTAGACACAGGCTTAAAGCTGTCCCGGTGATCGATAGTCAAGATCGATTAGTAAGAGGCTTCGTCACCCAGGTAATTGAGAACAATGTCTTTTGAGTCGGCACTATTCTTTTCTTTTCTTTCCAGAACGCTGCAGTACAGCTGCTTCTTCAATGTAGTGGACTCACTTGGTTTGATACTATAGCGAATAAGCCTCTCACGGAGCTACGGTATGTAGTCGATTTTTCTTTCTCTTTTGCATCCCATGTTGCCTGGTGCTGCCTTCTTGCGTGCGTAAATCAATATATGCGTTCAGTCGACTGGGTTGCTTGAGCAATGTAAATGAAACTGTCAGAAAGTTGAGGTATGCTCAGCAGGAACATTTATTCAAGTTTTTTCTAAACCAGGCTCTTGTTTTTCTGACAGAGCACAACTAGGACTTGGAGCATCAGAGGTTGTCTGCGTTAATCACGACGACGTGATTCTAGACGCAATGACAACAATGTGGAAGTTCAGGATAAGTAGCGTCCCTGTTGTGGAGAGAGAGAGCAGGCGTCTCATTGGAAATGTTCGAGGCACGGATGTGCTGCTCATGATCGAAAAACCCGAGCTCTTTCATCAAAGAAGGTATGGAAAACTACTATTCAACGTTTCTACTTCGTTGTTTGTCTAGAACGCTCACGGTGGAGAAGTACATGGAGGTGGAAGCAGAATGGAACCAGAGTGACGTGCTCAGCAACGATGTACCTTTGCAAGAAGAGATCGGCGCATCGATATGTGCGGGAACACTGAGCCTGGGGACCATAGCTCTTCCAAGAATGCTGGATCCTGTCAAGTCTAAGGCCGGGGACACGCTCAAACAGACCATGGAGAAGCTTGTCCATGCCAGGAGCGATAGGAGTTTCGTGGTGGATGACAAGCTTTGCATCGTGGGAGTCATCACGCTCAGGGACATCATCAACCAGTTTGCTCCTCCGCTTGTGGAACCTCCCACGCAGTGGAGTGGCTTCTTCGAGAGTGCTTTGCAGCTCACGGGATCTTCGCTTGAAAGTCCCGAAGAATCAACACCATACTGGAGCTGAAAGAGCAGTGAGAAACAATTGATATACAGAAAAAATCCAGCTTCCATTCACCTCATGTTTATGGCCGCGTCGAGAAATAATCAAAGAATGAACCAATAGTATTCGTTGTTATTGGCACCACAAGTGTTTTTTGTGTGGAAAGGCTTTGGTTTTCGTTTTCTTCACGGACGCCTGCCTTTCAGCTAACAAAGATGGTCTTTCAATCTGTAAGCAAGCTTTGACCGATCAGCCAAAGGAAACAAAGAGAAAGGATAGGGCGTCCGACCTGGTATACTTTGCCGTGTCGTAAATGGTAGCGTACTCCGGCCCAGTCGATGAACTGAGACCAATGAGAATAGACAGCAGACACGGGATAGAGAAAATTGTCCACGACCATTGCAACAAAAACCTGTCAAAGACAAGGCACTGATCTGTATGATAGTTTTCTTTGAAAGTTGCGCTCACCATAAACCAGTTGTAAGTCTTGATGGACACTGGCGGCTTTTCAGGAGATAGCTCGTTGCAGAGACTTATTATCACGGCCGAGAGACGCTGCAACGACAGTGACTCAATCACGGAGCAAATGGCTACAATCCCAGCCATCACAAGTCCTGCCAGAAGATAAGAATAAAATAAAAAAAATGATCCGTGAGTGAATGAATGGGACAGAAGGCAAACCTGTCCTGTACGCTATAGCTGCATCCGGAGATGGACAAAGCATCGCCCTGAATGCCACGGCCAGTTGCGCGATCACGAGCACGTATGGAGCTACGAAACTCCACGACAGCCAACAATGCGAGAAGAACAATGCCCGGTTCATAAGCCAGTTAACTTGCGAGTTGTAGGACTCCAGAACAAATGTCTGCTTTCGCAAATAGTTCCAGTACCTGCGAGAAAGGAGAGCGCACCGTTAACACCATCTCAAAACTAAAATATCACCTCGAAAAGCTTAAGTTTTGAGACAGTGGATGGAAGAACACAGCCACGGGAGGTGAGCTGATTACTCGATGATGTGCACCTGCGACCATCAGTTTCACGTATCAAAACAAAACTCGCGATTTTTCTTGTTTTTTTTTTGTTACCGGCCACAGCAGCAAGAGTCATATCGTCGGAATAGCCACCATTTTGCAGCCCTGTCACCATATTATAACGATCTTGACGGAAATCTTCTGCATGCATCTAGAATTAAAACACCACTTGTTAAGCCCTCCGAGAAAACTTGAAAATCTCGGTATACCATCATGCATCCGCCCCACAAAAAGAAAGTTCTTCCACCGGTCGCAAAACCAATTGAACAGGGCTGATAATCGTCTTGATATCAGTATCTGGAGAGCAAAATTTTCAAAGTCTTTACCATATGGTACTCATATATGCAATAGCTTCCGAGGCTTCCAGACGGTATGTCAAACGGATAGCCTGTGAGAACAAAAATCTGCACGCCTGGTGACGATCTAGACGGAAAACATGAGCTCAAATTACCTCCGGAGTCATTTTATCAACGAGCGCTCCGACTGTGCCGGGGTGAAGCTGCACGTCGTCGTCCAGAAAGAGAACGTATTTGCTCTCCTTGTGCATGGCAGAAATTCCAGCCTTTAAAACCAAACACGAAGATTTTCTTTTAAAGAAACATTCTGTGAAGACGACGAACTTACCAGCTGGTTGTGAATTTTCTGGCTGCAAGTTGCGGACAAGCCGGCTACCAAAACTTTTGCCAGGACATCATCCTGCAAGTGTCAGCATGCGCGATAAAATCTTCTCACAAGTTCAGAAAAGAAGGATACAATACCTTGAGCTCATAGATCAACTTTGATATCGCCGCATAAGCTGGATCTTTCATGCTCTCGACGACGATGATAAACTCGAGCGGACCTCCATACAACGATATAAGCTAGAAAAAAGAAAGAAAAATTAGCACTAGAAAACCAAGGAGTGAAGAGCATGATTTTCTACCTGGCTCCGCCAATTTCTAATCGTGTGTTCGCCAAATCCCTTGACGGGCATCACCACAGTCACGCGTGGTAGCATCGCTTGAGCACCATGCTCGAAACTCTCCACATCAACGTTGAGAAATGCAAGACTATTTCCATTTCGTTGCGCCCTCTTCATTTTCGCGAGCTCTCGCCCCCTACAGAATCCAATGCTGGCAATGTCAATCCCCACTGCACGAGAATCCATTGCGCAAAAGACCATCAATCACTGACCTTATCATCGTCGCGAATGCCCAGCCCATCGCCAGCGCCAAGTAAATGACGCATCCCTGGAAGAGCATTGGCAATGCACATTGAATCAACGAGTCACTTACCTGGATCTGGATCGCGACGGCCACCGGATGCGTGGCGAGAGCGCTGGCCACTCCAAACCACGAATCCAGATCCATCGCCTACTCCAGCTCAACCAGATCTAGTGAATCAATAAGGGCTTCTCTTCCGACAAGGAAAACCTTTACTTTTCTTTCCCGCCCTAGGTCAAACACGACTATGTTGTTTTAAGGATTTATGATTAAGTTAATTAAACCTGTTTAACCAAAAATAGCTGGTCTTTTCAAAGCATAGAAAAAAATTAAAAAATATGCCTCCTTTTTGGCTAGTATACAAATACAAAGGCCTAGCTAGGCAGCATTTTGCTCAAGGCTGCGTCCTTAAAGAAAAGAGCTATGGACGAGGAAATTTGAGCTCCCTTTTCCAGACAGGGCGACAAAAGCCACGGTCTTTTCTTCACGTCCTTTCACCACGGCCAGCGGCGAGACATGGAATTTGGAAGAGAGATCTCTCTCGCTGCGGCCTGCGAAAGATTTCCAAGAGAGAGATGGAGAGGAAAAAACCGGAGGGAGCGAGATGAATCCATGACATTTTTTCTGCGCCTGCATGTAGTGGTCTGCAAAGGAAACAAAAGACACAAAGATGAGACTTGAAAGACAAAGGATCGTTCAGTCACTTACAGCTTCTTCCAGCAGCTGCTGCTAAGGAAAATGTCTAGAACGGCGCGTCCGAGGAGGCCGCCTTTCATAGCCCGAGTAAATGTAATCGATGTCTTCCTCCTGCTGCGTTCTTGTCTCCTCTACCATTCTCCTCCAAACAGCATCATTGCTGCGATTGATGCTACTACTGCTCGCTCTGGCTTCAGCGTAGGCCACGGTGCTCTCTGCTACTCCAGTTTGCGAGAAGAAGAGATCTGCAAAAGACGCGAGGTGAGAGAAACAAGAGATGTTTTCGAAGTACCTGATCTGGACGAGCAAACGAGCTGCAAGAGAAGGAGAAACCAGACGAGCCTGGAAGTGAGCAGCATTGAAGTGGAAGAGGAGAAAGAAAAGAAGGAAGTGCTGAGAGGCAGTGAGGAGAGAGGAGAAACCATCAAAGCCTCCTCTTTGGCTGCCCGAGAGAGAGCGAGAGGAAAAGGAGCTTGGAGCGTATGCGTATGCGTATGCGTGTGTATGTATGTATAGCTGGCCGCCTGTACAAGCATACACACACAACAGCATAGTCAGAAGAAGGAATGTAGAATGTCAACGGGTGGCTCACTCAAAAACCAAGTCGCTTTCGCCAAAATCGTTGTTCCGTACGACGTCACGGGCCATGGCGTGCGTGGGAATATACGGCCAGTGCGCTCTCGGCACGGCCTGGAAGCTTTGGTATCCCGAGGCAAAGTTTCTCGAAGGCCACTGCTTTGAGAGAGCTGCAAAACAAACGAGTTTAATAACAATTGTTATGCGGGAAAGCAATGCGGGCGAGCGAAAGAAAAGAGATGTTTAGAGTACCGATGACTGATGGTAGTGGTGTGGTGTGGTTTTTTACGACGAAGATACAGCTTTGTGTCGCTTGCTGCTTTTACTCGTCCCGTCCTCCTCTGGGTTTGTAAGTGTGAAGGAAGAAGCTTCTGATGCCGAGACAGCTCCGCAATGAATAGAACTTGCCAGCGTTGGCTTCAAGACGAGCGAACCAATCTGTCAAAGACACCAAAACAGAACGGAGTATCAGCGAAGTTCGAATGTTTGGAAGAAAGAAAAGCCGAAAGAAAAAGAGAAAAGAGAATGACCGTGACCGAGAGCCTGAACGACTTTGATAGCTTAGATTCCCCTGAAAGCCACAGTCTTTGTGCCACTCTCATTGCTCATCAAAGGACGTTGCCGGCTGCTTGACCAACGAAGCGATAAGTTTAAAATGTGTGTGAGAGCGAACCTGGCAGGCGAGCGTCAAAATGCAACGGCATGGTGCTTGTCAAGCGAGAATAGCGAGGCGCATGCAGCAAACTTTGGACCTGTTTTCTGTACCAAGGACCTGAGCTATTCATTTGTTATCACCGTCTTCAATCCTTAAGGAAAAACGGAAACATAAGCATCTTAGCATTGCGCCCGCAAAGTGCAAAACATTACCAGTATTCAGTAGAAATAAGTGTCTTTGTTTTAGTTTGCAACTGCTGGAAAAAAGCTGTGAAAGAAAGCGCTGTGAGAAAAGCGAAGACCAGCAAGGAAGTGAGGGTGTTTTACCATTTTACAAAGAAACAACATCTTCGTTGCGCTTGCTGTTTTTACTCGTTCGTGGCTTCCTCTGAGTATGTAAATGTGATGGAAGAAGCTTTTGATGCGAAGACAGCTCCGCAATGAACAGAACAGCGTGAGCCCAGCCAGCGTACGCTCCGAAACGGCTTACAAACGCCTGCGCCACGGCGCTGTGCATTTTGGATGTGAGGCGTTGTCCGGCGAGCTCGGGTTTGAGATATTGCACGGCAATCTGTCAAAGAACAAAGATAATTAGCAAAGACTTTGAAGAAAACTTCACAAGAACTGTGTTTTGTTGGAACCAGTCTTGTGTTCGTGCAGCAACGATTGCACGAACGAAAAACTATGTAAACATGTACCTGCCATACGTGAGTGTCAACTGGAATGGCGTCGTGTTTGTCAAGCGAAAACAGCGACACGCATGCGGCGACCTTGGGACCGATTCCAGGGAGTGTACACAGTGCAGCAGTCGCCTGTTCTAGCGATCCTTCTCTCAAGGACTTCAGCCATTCATCACCACCACTTTCCTTGGAACGCAGGGTCTCCACGGCTCCTACAATATACTTGGCTCTACAAGAAAGAGTTAGAAACAAAGAAGAAGCCACCATCTTTGCTACAAAGAAAAGAAAAGAAGGAAACCTGTATCCAAACCCAGCGTCTCTAAGTTGTTTCTCGGTGAGGAACGATAGTTGCTCGAGCGACGGGAACTGGAAGAAGGATTGTCCATCCACGCAGCCAAGCGGAGATCCCTGAGTAGCGAGAAAATCCACCATCTTCGTTATCCTCTGGATGTGATTGTTGGAGGAGCATATAAACTGGAAGACGCATTCCACTGGATCCTGCCTCAGCACTCTCGCCCCTTGAATGTAGGGAGCCACAGCAGCAAATCGCTCGTCCGCGGCACTGAAAGAGCTCCACAGAGCCGCCAGCGACGTATCCAGCGTGAAGAATTCTCGCAGCGCCTCCTTGGCGCCTGGAAATTCCGTGTGGAGGCGATAGAGTGTGTCCTGCGGCGTCTGCCGGAGCGAGACGAGGTGAGGCCCCAGAGCTCCCGTGAACACGCCGGGACTTGTTTGCTTCCACAAGAATGTCTGACCTGTGAGGAGCGTGAGGGCGAGATTGAGCTCCACTGGAGGAACGCTGAGGCTCCGCCATTCTTCCCGCGCCCGCGGCTTCTTCGTGATTCTCTCCGGCGTGGCGACAGCGATCGCGAAGCTCAAGCTCCGCTTAGCGATGGGCGCCATTTTCTCTTTTAGGGCAGGAAGGAGGATTTAGGGTTTATGCGAGGGAAATGGTTGCGCCTGGCGGCAAACACAAGCGCTTCTTCGAGGTCGGCGATAGCGATGAGAATGTGAGTGGTTTCGCAGCTCTGCTCGCTCTGATCAATCGTTTCTTCTTAGAAATCGGATGAGGGGCCGAAGAAGCAGCGCAAGGAATTGGATCCCGACGTCGAGAAGCGATTGATTGAAGCCAAAGTGAAAGCAGTGCGTGGATTTATTGTAGCTCTAGAGGTTGTGATTGATCTTTGCCTTTGCAGCTTCCCCAAAGCAATGAGAACACCGACACTATCAAGCCGAAAATCAGGAAATACAATCGGGGAGAACGACTCTCCGTGAAAGTAAGATGGAAATTATTTTCTGTGATGCTACTTGGCTAAAATTCTTGGTTCGCAGGGATTGAAAGACAAGAAGCTCAAGTCTCAGCTCAAAACCAAAGAAGATTTGTTTGAGAAATCTGCTCTTACAGCCGCGAAAGTAGAGCAAGTAAGGTTTTTTTTTTCTTCTACTCTTTTGATACATTCCTAGCTTTAACGTTGAGCTTTCTTCAGTGGCTTCTACCGAGCGAAGGTGGAGCTTTAGAGGCGGACGATGGAGAAAATACCTATGACTACACTCAAGAAGACATCGTGAAGAACGTTGATATTTCAAGCGCGCACAAAGCATTTGATCTCAGACTTCCAGGTTTGCAAGTAATCTTTCTCTCCCGTCAGCTATTGGTTTGTTTCTTCTTCTTTTCTGCTGCAGACTTGGGTCCTTACACGATAGATTACACTCACAGTGGTCGATATGCGCTTATTGGCGGCCGGAAAGGACACCTTGCCGTGATCGATTGGAAAACTAAGTATCTCATGATGGAAACTCAAGTGAAAGAGACTACACGCGATATCAAGTTCCTGCACAACGAGCAGTTTTTTGCTGCTGCTCAGAGCAAGTAAGTGCTTTCTTACGTTTGCGTGGATTTCATTTTTCTTTGTAGATATATTTACATCTACGATAAAAAGGGCGCTGAAGTCCACTGCCTAAAGGTAAATAGATCAAACTTACATGCAAAAGTATCGATGCTTGTTCTGCTGCAGGAATTTGTAGCTCCACTGAAACTGGAGTTCCTTCGACACCACTTTCTCCTAGTCAGCACCAACAAGGCCGGAGTCCTTCACTACCAGGACACAAGCACGGGTCAGATAGTGGCAAATTACTCTACGAGACTGGGACCTTGCCGTGTTCTTCGAGCGAATCCTTACAATGCCGTTGTGAGCCTGGGCCACAGCAACGGGACAGTGACTCTGTGGACTCCAAACATGGGTACACCTTTGGTGAGGATGCTGTGTCACAGAGGCGCTGTGACTTCCACGGCATTCGACATGGGAGGGAGCTATATGGTAACAGCAGGCGCAGACGCGAGGATCAAAGTCTGGGACATACGAAAGATGCAGGCTCTTCATTCCTACATGGCGTTTCAGTCGACCAAGTCACTAGACGTAAGCCAGAAAGGCTTGCTCGCGGTCGGCAGTGGCTCCACGATCGAGATCTGGAAGGATGCGTTTCAAGTCAAGCAGGAAAAGCCATACATGAAGCACAAGCTCTTCCAGAACTCGACCATCCAGGATTTGAGCTTCTGTCCATACGAAGACGTGGTTGGGATTGGTCACACAGGGGGAGTGACATCCATTCTCGTCCCCGGCTCGGGAGAGCCAAACTTCGACAGCTTCGTGGCGAATCCTTTCCAGACAGTGAAGCAGCGGCACGAAGCGGAGGTCCACGCGCTCCTGGACAAGCTCCAGCCGCAGACGATCATGCTGGATCCTCAGAAGTTTGGAGCGGTGGACAAGAACCCCCGGAAGAACTTGCGGGAGCAGGAAGAAGAGGAGGACGAGTCGAAGAAGATCCAAGGCCAGAAGAAGGCCAAGCGCAAGACCAAAGGCCGGAACAAAGTTGGCAAGAGAATGGCGAAGAAACAATTGGAGGCTTTCGGCACGAAGCGATCGATAATTCGCGAGCAGCAGCAGCAGCAAAAGCAAATGAAAGGAGCTCTCGTGAAGGAACGAGAGGAGCCTTTGCCACGAGCGCTCGAACGCTTTGCTAGCTAGATCAACCAACGGCCCAGGTCGATTTGAGTGTCTCAGAATTCTAGAATATTCTCACAATGGAGCGGAATATGCTCCTTTCAGAATATCCTTATGCGCTCTAGAAGATTCTCATAAAAACCCATAACAAACCCTAACAGCATGATTTGGATTTGTCTCCGTTACTACTGACATGCTCGATTTGGATTGTCAATAACTACTTGGATGTTCTTGCCACCAAATTTTCAAAGAAGCAGACTATCAAACCAAAGGTTTAATCAACGTACGAATACCGTTAGAATCAACGGCTTGGATCGAGCGAGCAAGAGAGAGACACAGGGACAGGGGAAAAAGGAAGTCTGTTTGATTGGCTTGCCAGCTGGTATGAGATCCAACGGTGCTCTACGGACAAAGGTTTAGCTATTTGGACCTCCACACAGTCGAGAGCAAGGGCGCTGGCTAGGCGCTGTGAGGGCGGCGGGGTTTTGGATTGGAGATCGCGATCGATCTGCCTAGGGTATGGATTTTTTGACGGGATCCTTGGAATTTCTTGCATTGTTTCGCGGGATTGCGGCATTGTTGCTGTGATTCTGTGCGCTTCGGTGCTTGTTTTGTGTGATTTGATGCTCGGGAGGGTCAGATCTCGCCTGCATTCTTCGATTTGCCCCCCCAGGAACATTCCATTGGGCCCTAATGGGATTATTGGAATTCATGCCGCTTTTCAGATGAACAATGCGATGTCTCGGCGTCCGAGAAGGTCCTCGGACGATTCGGGAGGCAATGGATTGTCCAGCTCCGCGCAGGCTCAGAGCAAATCGGACTCCTCTTCGCTAGTCTCCGCCTGCGTTCTATTCGTCGTAAGTAGGCTGCCAAATTTCTTCTTTCTTTTTTGTATCCTACGAACTATTGTTCTATTGGCTCGTTCTTCTAAAGCCTTCCTTTGTTTTTCCCAGGTTATGGTGTTGTTTTTCGTCTACCTCTTCGGGCCCTCAAGTATGTGATCCATTTCTTCTTCTATGCTTTGGGACTAAATCGCATCACTTCGTTCATTGTAGCCTTCCAGCACCACTCAAAGACTTCGCCATCCTCGGCTGTAGCAACAGCAAGGAAGCTCAATCCATCCTTACTTCTGCGCTCGCTTCCAGTGGAAACTCATACGCATGACACTGAAGAGGAGGATCAGCACGAACAGCTAAAGTCCATTGCTGGTACTCACTATTCGTTTTCTTCCTGTTGTTCAACTTGAGAGCTTTTTCTCTTTAGACAATAACTCGGAGGAAGCGTCTGCTGGAGTGCTGGACGCTCTACCGTTGCTGCAAGAGGTGTATGGAAAACACATGAAAGCAGTTCTTCACATCGGACCGCAGACGTGTAACGTCGTCGCCAGGCTGCTTCAAGACGAAGGCGGACAGGCATGGGGTGTGGAACCATCGGAGATGACAAATCCAAGCTCGGTTTGCAAGAGCCTCGTCAAGAAGGGATTAGTCCGTATTGCGGACGTTCACCGGGGACTCCCATACAGATCAAAGTCATTCTCCCTGGTCCTGGCAAGCAACACACTCGAGCACTTGACATCTCGCCAGCTGAACAGAACACTTCCGGAGCTAGCTCGACTAACCAGCCATGCCATCGTTGCTTTCATCTGTAAGCCTTCTCTATCTTGTTTCACGTCTTTCCAGCATCCTCTCGTCTCTAACGCGCTGAATTCTTGCACAGCTAGTCAGCCATCGCAAGTATCATCGGCCAGGCAGCTCCAAGCGGCACTAAAATCCGTAAGAAAAGTTTTTCTATGTGCTTTCGCTGATGATCTTTGGACAGATCAAGAGCCACAACCGGACGTGGTGGTCTCGCAAATTCGAGACGGCCGGACTCGACGAAGACGAGGAGATGAGCAAAGGATTTGCCAGCCTCCAGTTGCAAAGATCGTATAGAAGTTCCGACTATATTTTCCATCTCCTTCCTCGGCAATTCGATTAGCCCAAGAGCTCGTCCACTACTACTACTGCTATAAAACGATATTAACATGCCACAGTGCGTGGCAAGTTTTTGGTAAGTATAATGAATAGAATGTATAACGTTTTAAGTTTGACTAGAGAAATATGGTCAACTCTACATGGTCAAACTAGTAGTTTACCTCTAAGAACGATTCGCTGGATATGCGCTTAGGGTTAGGGTGAGGAGAAGGGGATGACGAGCGTAGCGTAGAGGTAATGGATGATGCGCTCAGCACTGAGCATCTGAGAGCATTGGCCTTCGCTTCAATCCCTGAAACGTCTCGGAGATCGTATCGCTGGATCAGGGCTGCTGCTGCGATCGACGAGAAGGAAGAAGGGGAGCTGTCATCGGATGAGAACGCAGATTGTATGGTAGGGCAATGGATTCCTCTCTCGATTTGCGGCTGTTCTTGAAGCTAGATATTTCGATGCAGGCCAAGCGCAAGGTGAGCGGCAACCACAAGAAGAAGAAGAAAGCAGCGGCAGCTGCGCAGCAATCGAGCGCCTCGCCGACTGGAGTGCCGCATTTGCCATTGGATTTGAAGGTAGCAGGGGCGGCAGCAGCACAATCCTTTGGTAAATAGTTTCCTTTTCCATTCCATTTCTCTGGCCTAGAGTTTTTATAGTATCTACGCAGTGTATCGGCCGCCAGCAAGCACACCGCTGCAAAAGCAAGTGAGTAAAAAATGCCAGTGCTTATCTTCTCTTTTGTTTCTTGCTTTCCGCAGCGCTAAAGTTTCGCTGTGTTCTTTTGATTCTTTCATCTTCTCTTGGTTTTCTCAGTGCTAAAGTTTCGTCCTGATATTTTCAGGTCACGAACACTGTTAGTGAAACTCCGCCAGAGATTCCTCAGAAGAACCATTCCATTCCATTCGACAAAGGAGCGAACGACTTGCGCATGGGAACCGCGACTAAGACGCTTTCTACCACTGGAGGTTTTTGCGATTTATTTCTCGTGTTTTTCGCTGATGCGTTCGTCAGTGTGTGTTCCAGCACAGCTGCCAAATGGAAAGGCAAACACTCACAAGGCGAGCAACAATGGCCTTGGCGAGAACCCGTTTCTCATCAAGTTTTCGGACGATGAGAGCGATGGAGAAGATGCGAAAGCAACTTCAGTGAACGCAGCAAAGCCCGCCAGCTTGCGGGTGGAGATTGACCGGATGAAGAAGCAAATTGCTGCTATCGAGCGAGTAAAAGGGAAGTCACTGCCGATTTCAAAGAGTACCAGGCCTGCTGCTGGCAGTCACTCCCGGCAAAATCCTCTTGGTCCGAAGGACTGTGGAACCCAGACCAATCTGGACCTTTTGAGGAAACAAATAGCATCGAAGGAGGTTGAAATTCAGCAGCAGAGGCAACGAAGAGAGGTCGTAAATAACTCAACCAACACCTCTAGTCTTCCAGACTCAAGCTTACCAGCTTCAAACAACGCGAGTTTTCCGGTTACCGATAATGTATTTTCTCCAGCGACTCAGCAAAACCTGGGAACTCTGGGACCGTCATCCAACACCAGGCCGGGAGATTCGAGACCTTTGGCAGTTCAGACGATGGATACGTCGACGCACGGTGGGGGGGATAGCATAGGCATCAAGCGTGGTGCCGATAAGGCCATGCAGGAGGAGGAAGCCAGTACCAAAAGGCAAAAGCTACCAGGTGCTGTGGAAAACGCCTGCGCAGAGGTCTTGCCGCAAAGCGGATGCCTGGAGGTGGCCAATCTGTCGACGGAACAAAGGTCGGCTGGCGGACAAACCATGGGCAGTCTTGAGATCGCCGTCGCTGGTATTTCTAGAAGTAAACCGTCGGTTGCGGAACTAGCCCTGGAAGAAGAAGCGGTTGACAAGGAGTTGGAGTTGGCACAGCACCATCGACACATGTGTGAGATTCGAGAACGCCTGGCTAGGAAAGCGTATCGGGAAGCCCAAGAAGCGTTGAAGGTGGCTACTGCGAACTGCGACAAACTTCATCGGCGGAGGGATATAATTTCGTTGAAAGTCACAGCAGCTGAAATGAGGTGTGATGTTATGGAGGAGGGCCGGCCTCTCGAATTAGCTCAAACTTGTTTTGACGCTCCGAAGTTGGACTCCGCCATCGTTCCTTCTGCTGCCGATCAGACAAATGTTTCTACTGGCATCGTTACTCGTGACGATGATCCGGCACCTCTTCGCATACTTGAGGAGATCGTTTCAGGACGATCTGTGAGCGAAGCGAAGGAGCTGGATGCAGACGCAGAGAAGGAGATTGAAACCCAACCTGCCTGTCCGAATGTTCCTGAGAATAATGCTACGAGTTTAATTCAGACGATCACTGCAGAGTCCGCCGGTAAGCTGGATCATAATTTTGTACGTAAAGTGATCCTCTTTTCTCTTGATGCAGGACTTTGTACCCAGCCACCTGTGGCTTACGATGCTCACGATGTTTCGAAGGTGATGCTCATATACTTCTATCGATTTATTGTTTTGAAAACTTAATATTTTCTTTTATCAGGCTCCCCTGATCGAAGAGAAGGTACAGGAAGCTGTAGCAGCTTCAACTTGCGAAGAGGAGGACTTGCAAGGCTCTTCGTCGAGCTCAGAAGAACTCAGAAACAAAATGGACCACCTCGTCGTGGGAAACGAATTGGAAACCTCCGGCAGGGAGCCTGTAACTACGCTGGATCCGCTGGAAGACGTCAACGGTGCTGCGAAGCAGGGCAGCTCCACTGAATCTTCGATCGGTGTAGTTATGGATGACTTGGAAAACACAGGCTTCTCGGTGGAAGTAAGGGACAGCAGTCTGAACGGTACAAAATGGTTTACTAGGTTGTCAGCGGGCCGTTTGGTTGTTTTTCGGCAATTCATTTTCAAGTCAGCGGTGTGTGGAATTCAAGTGCCAGAAGCAAAGAAGGCATTCGAGGCTACAGCTGAACCTTTCGGCAAATACGAAAGTCCTCTGAAGAACTCGACATCGTCTAAAGTATTCGACCCGTTCAAGCCGCTTTGCAAGTACGAGCACCGTGGAAAATGCAACAACGAGCTTTGCAGTTTTCAGCATGTCAGTCATCACAGGCTGGGATCCATACGGGATAGGCAGGAGGCATCCGAGGAAAATCGAAACAAGCGACAGGCATCCTGGATGCAGTTCGAAGTGCCAGTGCCGACTTATCGCATCGCTACCTACCTCATGAGAGATTGGCAGGAGATGAATCGCACAAAGTTTTTCAATGTTTCTCCCGTTTCTCCCGTCAACTCGTTATACTCGTTCTTGACAACGATATCTATGCAAAGGCCACTACCACAAGACATGCCTTGCATCCTTGATGAGAGGAGTAAATTATTCAACGAAAACTTTGACGTTTTGCAAGCAGACGTGGTAAATGGAAAACAAATGGTACGTATGCTTTTGGAGTTCCGGGTCAGATTTTTTCTTATGACTTAAATTTTCTCAGCTCTCTCGGGAATCTAGTGCCGACGGATGCTTGGACTTGGCTCTAAATATCTTGCAATACGATGTCAACATTGAAAGTTCAAATTGTCTTAAAAATGTAAGTAGCCATTTACCAGAAGGAGGCAGGTCAGCTTGATGCTGCAGGTAACTCTAGAGGCTACCCTGCTGAGAAGGATATGTGCGTGCTAGGCGCTACGTGTTTTGTTTAGAGCGTTGGAAGTGAACAAAACGTCGGTGCCTCTATGGGTGGTATATCTGGTTTTAATCTCCATGGAGGATTCAATGACTAAGAACGACGACATGTTCCTTCACGCGGTAAAAGCTTTACATCTAAAATTGCGTTTCAACAGTGGACTATGTTCCTGCAGGTGCGACTCAACAAGTACTCGTACGACCTTTGGTGTCTTGTTCTTGCCAGCAGAACAAGCCTAGGTGATCTACTCGAGTCATATGACTTGGCTATCCTGTCATTATGCGAAGGAAACAGGCTCAATGGCGACGGGCAGAATAGTGCGTGCATCCTCGATTTGGTTTTGAAGATGTTTCACACTTTGGCCATGTCCGAGAACGACGTCTTAAAGTGGATAGACAGCCTCGTGACTAGTGAAGGAACTTTAAACGGGTGGAAGAGCTCATCAGCTGTCTGGAAGAACTTACAGGCTTCCGAGGCGTGCATCCTCTGGGTTTGCTGCGCGTACTTCTGTGCCTACGGAACTTTACCAGGATCAGTTATCTCCAGGCTTGGTTGCAAGCAGGAATTGCCTCTTAGCTTGGAATGGGAAACGCCTCAGGTGGTCAGTGAAGGGATACGATCACGGGTGGTGAAGATGATGAAGACTGCGACAGGTTCTTTAGCGCCGGCAGGGTCCGGGGATGATCTTTCTAAAGAAGTCTTGGCAGTAAACTTTATCAGGTTTTTGGTGGCCTTTGAGGATGTCGAGTATGCTTCAAACTATTGCCAGCAAGCGGTGCAACTACATCCGTGCTCAGTGGAGCTGGTAGTTCTTTGTGCGAACGTCCAAAGGTTACGAGGGGGCTGTAAATCCGGGCTGGCGGTTTTTCAGAGCACGTTGTCTAAGTGGCCAAATAAAAGACCTGGCGTTCAGGCCCTGTGGAATCAGTACGCTGGCCATGCTTTGGAATGGGAAGGGGAGGAGAGGGCGCTAGTTATACTTCAGGAGTGCTCAACGAGGGAGGCAAGGAATGGACAGACGGACGGGTTGACGTTGTCAACGGGCTCCAAGAGTGTCGAGGATTCCACTTTCTCATTGGTGAACATCGCTCTTTTGGAGTCATTACGGGGGCGATCGCACGAGGCTCAAGTCGCTCTAGAGAAAGCACTGTCGTCGACGCATGCTGGCACGCATTGCTGGCTGGAGTTTGCCGCCTTCAAGCTCTCGGCTATAGGTGGTTGTAACTTTCAGGACGTGTTCACGAGCATCTTGGACAGGTGCCATATGCAGTCACGGTTGTCGCCAAAGCTAACTCCTCTCGGACGGGGCTTTCTAAAGGGCATCAAGAAGCGCAGGATCCGCTGTTTCATAGACACATTGCTCGGGCCAGTTCCTTCCGACTATTCCTTCGTCAATTCCTTGCTGCGCATGTGTTCCGGCCCAGAGCTACTTCCACGCGACCAGCCAGAGTTTTCCAGGCACTTTGGTGGCGGACTTTTGGAGTTGTTTCCATCGAACTCCGTCCTGGCGTTGGCCTTTTGTAAGGCGCTCAACACTTCGGATGGCTTCAGTCCTGCAGCAGCAGCCTGGGCTGGTTCGCTTCTTGTGACGTCCTTGCGGCTCTCTGCTGCTCCCGAAAGATTGTGGCTGGAGGCCGGGGATTGGCTTCAACAGGTTGGTCTGGAAGACTGCTGCGAGAGCTTCTACAGGAATGCTCTTGCGGCCTATCCGTTTTCGGTTGGTCTGTGGCGACGCTTTATATCTCGAGCAGGGAACCCGGAGGCTGCCGCCGAAGCTGCAAAAGGAGCAGGATTGACGCTATGAGGTATGGAGAGCGCTGGAGTGGAAAGCTGGAAGAATTCCAACGTTCCTCGAGTCCGATATTGGTCTACCTTCCATTTCTTTTACTTTGCTTCTGCTATCTTCTTCATTGAGACTTACAGCGGATTGTCTTGTGCAGCAAACGTCACTGGACGATAGGAGCGTTCGTTGTAAGACTTAGCATTGTCACGAGCTTGACGAGCATTTATTTGCATCTGTTTTGCAGGTGACTGCGCTCGACGGCAAGGAGAAGACAGGTATATACTTCTTGTTTCGGTTGGTTCTCACTTTTCTATCGCATTCCAGGTAACTTTCTCTCGCGGAAGTTTTCTCGTGAAAAGGTAAACTTTGTGTTTCTTGGTTGCTTGCAATTCCCTTCACCGTGTGGAATTACTGCCGGAGCACTCGAGAGTCACAGAGTTTTGGTGGTCGATACTAGTACTGGGTGGGGAAAGAAAAAAAAACAGGTGTACAGCGGAGCCGAGGTACCATTTTAGTTGGCTGCCTAGTTTTGATGGTTTAGAAGGATAATAGATAACAGCAATATAGTCTAGCGGACGACTTCTACATTTTTCTTCTTCGTTTTGTTAGAGGCTTGGGGCATTCGGGCTTTAGCACGCATAGCTTTAGTCTCTACAGGTTTTCAGCTCTGGAGGGTGAAGCAGAGAGGGATGGAGAGACAGATATCCATGGAAGAAGAGAAAGATACTCCAGGAGAAAAGATATCCAAGAGACAGATATCCAGAGATTGAACGAAGAAGAAAGATATCCAGGGAATGCAAGAGAACCTGCTAGAAAAAAGGAAAAAGATCTCCAGGGAAACTGGGAAGGCAGAGGCTTCGTCTAGAGCTGTCCAGAGTTGGAGATGAGGATTTTCTTCCAAGGCTTGCCCCCGAGAGTTGCAGCGGCCTCGATGGCCTTCAACACATTCATTCCATCGACAACGCGGCCAAAGACGACGTGCTTGCCATCCAGCCACGGCGCGGCTCCCAGCGTGATGAAGAACTGCGAGGAGTTCGTGTTTGGGCCGGCGTTGGCCATGGACAGGATCCCGGGACCCGTGTGCTTGCGCTCAAAGCTCTCGTCCTGGAACTTTGGCCCGTAGATGGACTCGCCGCTCGTCCCGTTCCCCTCGATCACGTCCCCGGCCTGCGCGACGAACTCCGGAACGACGCGGTGGAAGGGCGTGCCTTTGAAGCAGAGGGGCTTGCCGCGCTTGCCCACGCCCTTCTCGCCCGTGCACAGGCACCGAAAGTTCTCGGCCGTCTTTGGCGTGGTGTCGCTGTAGAGCTCCATCACGATTCGCCCCACCTTGTGGCTCGCGATGGTGATCTCCAAGAAAACTCGCGGATTTCCCATTCCCCGACTTTTCAATATGCGATTGCCTCTAGCGAATATCCTTCTAGGTTAACATAATCTATCATTAAAATGATACGAAGGATATCCTTTTAGGCTTAGCTGCAAGTATATTGTGCGAATATGCCTTTAAGGAATATCCTTCTAGGTCGAAATGTAGCCTGTTAACACTAAACACAAGATTAGTTTAGAATAAATATAGATACTATGGCATATTCCGGGCATATCTAGATAAAATGGCCGCTTCTACAATGGTTTTCCATTGCTCGACCAGAGACGAATGGCCAGCCAGTTGTTAAACAAGCGAAGCACGCCATCGTCGCCCACCACCAGGGAAGTGGCATCGTAACAGGGGAGGCGGCAGTACGTGTTGGTCGCGAACAGGGCCACGCCTTTGCCGTCGTACACCACAAAGTTTCCGTCCGTCTGGACGACCGCGTAGCAGCTGTCGCCCTTCCCGTTCGTTTCCGACGACCACAGCGACTGCGAATGGCCCAAGTCGTAGAGAACCAGGTTGCAGTCGGTTTGCATGATCAGCTCGTAGGCCCTGTTTGCGGACAGGATAGAGAGGCCTACCCTGAGAAACTTGTAGATCGCGTTCGTGATGCCGGTGAGGAAGATCCAGCAGTCTCCGAAACTAGCCGGCTCGATCGACTCGTCCGTTAGCTGCGGCCACTCTGGAGGATCCAAGCTGTACATGGCCATGTAGTTGTCCTTGGCCAGGATGAGGAAGTCGAAGCCTTGTCTCCTCACTAGGCGCATGAGGTCGAGGTAGAGTGGCAGCAGGCCGTCCTTCAGTTCCTGTCCGAACGCGGTCACGCTGCGATCCACGGCCGCGTTGCAGTAGCCGCGCTCGTTCGCCTTCTTGAGGAACCAGAAGCTGAGGTTGATCTGCATCGTGCCGACTTGGACGTAGTCTGAGAAGGACTTGCCGGCGGGGTATGCGTCGCCCACCTGGATCCGGTTGAGCACTTTGTAAGCAGCGGTGACTATCGTCTCTCGCGCGAAGCCAATGGGGAGGCTGTTGGGGGTGCCTTGGTAGATTGCGTTTCCGCTGCAGCAGCTGGCCGTGAAGAGCCAGAGAGCGCAAAAGAGAACAACCTGCTGCTCCATAAGTGTCAGAGTGATTGCTAGATAAACAACACAATCAACAGGCTTACTTGTAACTACTAGAAGACACTCCACCGTTCAGTTCCAAAGTTCTTTGCCAGACTCTTCTCTCGTTTTTATTGAAAAGGCCTGAAAAACAGTGTATGGTGTAAGTACACACACAAACAAAAAAAGATAGCCTCGTACCTTATTTTCGTCAATACATGCTGCTGCTGCTTTCTACTCGTCGCTCGGATTGTTGACAAGTTGGATCCCCCACTTCACGTCCTGGCAGTGTTTGACAGCGTCCAAAACCTTGCCGGGATCCCTGCCACCTTTGCAGTCACAGTCGTAAAGTGGAGGAGCGTGGAAGCACGGATCCACGGAGAGGACACTGGAGCAAGCCGGTTGAGTGGGATCGTCTTCCAGCCTGCGTAAAACCCGCGGTCTCAAACCAGCCAAGCCCTGTGCAACGTAGCCAAACGTGGACATGGGACTAGTCACCAGAGTGTCGCAAAAGGAGAGGAGGAAGATCTCCATGAGCGCCTTCTTGTCATGCTCGGAAGTATCGGTCTTTTGCACCCCTTCGTGGCTCGGCAAGTGCACCTTGACTCGCGAAAGATCTTCCGTAGGAAACATGACGTACATGTCTCGCAGTCGCTCGTAGTAAATCTGGTGGAGTGAAGTTATCAGCACGGAGATTGATTTGTCTTCTCCGCCACCGATCAGTCTGCTAGCTTCGTCGTCGCGAGTGACATTGGGAAGCATCTTGTTCTCGACGACGCATTCCAGGACCTGGTTCGAGAATGCCTCGATCGAGCCTTCGAACGTCCGGAGCTGGAGGCCGACCAGCAGCTCTGCTCCACCTAGATAGCTCTCGTAGTATCTCGTTGTTCGAGCCCACACCGAGTTTGATGGATGAAGCAAGTACCTCCCAAGGTGATGGAACACAGCCTCTCGCTCCGGAAACATCCTCTCCAGCTCCGCTCGAAACGTTGGCATGAAGTAGAAGCTTGGAACGAAATAGTTGTTCGACTTGATGAAGAGCCACGGCACCTTTCTCAAGAACTCCTGCTCGCCCTCGCAGAAAAACCTGCGGTCCTGTTCGTCGTAGGTGTGAGTGAGATGGATATACACCTTGCCTGGAGCGGCGATCAAGTGACTGGCATCGGGAACACACTTTCCAGCGTCGCGGACAATGGAGCCAAATCTATGCTGCGAGGATTCATTGAGACCACGCAGCCACTCTCGAGGAAAGCTCGATGGGAGAAGCCATGAAGAACCTGGGAAAGGCTCGCACAGGAGCTCCTCCAAGTCCACCCCTGGATCGACCAGCAAAACTCTATCCGTGAGTAGAGCGTAGAGAAAAGTGGCTGCCAAAGTCACCAGCTTGTTCCCTAGGCCACTGTATGAGACCCAGACGAGAAACTGGCAAGAACTTCCACCGCCACCATCTTGCCTGGATTTCTCTGCCTCTGGAGCACACCTTTGATGCAAGGCCTCGTATTGGCGAAGCTTGGAAACCAGATACTTCGAGGGCTTGAATCGCGAAGCCTGGCGATACAAGTGGTGCCGGGATCTACTGTGGCAGCGATCCTCTCGATCGCGGGGAGCGAGCAATCCATCCATGCCCTGCCGATCACCTGCATTGCGAAGATCCGCGCTTCCATTCTAGAATTCATGGCTGCTAGCGGCGTACCTTGCGGTGGATTTTGCCAGTGTGAAGGAATCGCTCGTCGGCTCAGCGCTATCGACCCTGGATCCAGCCGCGAGAATCTGGCGAATCTTAGCGCGAGGAGAGAAGAGAATACCAGGCAGGAGAGGAGCGCCATGGTCAGGAACTTGAGTGACGGCATTCTTTTCCCTGGATGCGCTGGAGGGCGCGAGAGATCGAGCTGGATTGCTGGGGATTCCCTGCGCCTCATCTGTTCCCAAGCAGCATTGAGCTAACCAAGAGCCCTAGGATCACTTTCACTTTACCGGACCAAATTTTAATCTTTTATATTTTTTATAAACCTCTAACTCACTTTTAAATTAGACTTTTTAAATTAGAAAATTTTAACTTAATTTGAAATTTAAATGATTTTATATTAACATTAGTTAATATTGTTAAAAACACTTAAATTAATGATAAATGGTTCACAAAACCATTAAATTAGCTAATTTAAGGTAACCACTTGTTGCTTGACATGTGCTGTAAATCCTCTCCTCACACCTCCTCATTGCTTGGCAGTTTGATTGATTGCTTTCCTCAAATTGATTAATTGAACACTTTACTATAATATGTTGAATTTAGATTTTGTGGAAGGTCATCCAATTTAATATTATTCAAACCTGATGATGCTTAGTTTAAGTATTCCAAAACTTTTAAATAAAATGCACTCATATTTTACAGGTCATTTTCTTTTATATTTGAATCTTTATAAATTGTTTTCAAGTTCTCTTTTCTTTTGGTTGTTCACACTTACTAATCTATTCCACAAATTAAAATGGCCACCAAAAATTTTGTTTGAGCAATTAATTTGTTGTTCCTAGTTGAGCACAATTTAGAAGCCTTACAGAATATTTTAAAAAAATATTAATTCTAACATTAACCTGTGTGAAAAAAATAAAATATTAAATTAGAGTTTGCAAAATCCAATTTAATAATATGAACACTTTACCATTAAATTAACTAATTTAATAGTGGGTGTGAAACCCTCATAATAATGATTACCATTTTATACATAACATAATTTTATTAGTTTTTTCTAACAGTCTATGAATTAGTGAGACATATTTAATGATTAAATATTAATGAAGTTAATGGTTTTTTTTCAATTTTAAAATATTGTAACTTGATTATAATATATATTAGTTACTACTTATAGAGTATACTCTTATAATTTACATTTGTAACCTAAAACCTATTCAATATATCTCAATGTTATAAGCAAAACCATCATATCCTTTATAAGTGAAACTTTTCAAATTTATACTACTGCTTTAGATGTTAATATATTAATGATATTAGTTATTTTATTAACTTAAATGAAAATTAAAGTTTATACACAATAATAGTAATAATAGTTGCATCCAAAATAACTGAGTGTGTTCTTGAACATTTAAAAAATTAATAGCTAAGCTTTTGCACATTTGAATTCTGGTAATAATAATGCTAATATGGTTTTGCAATTTATATTTTGAATGATAATTCAAATTATTATTACAAAATTAAATAAAATAATTACAATTTTAAGTAAGTATACAAGTAGACTTATAAATATATACATTTATGGTGAAATTAATTAACTATAATTTTATAAACACAATTGAATAAGACTAACCAGTAGTTAACTCAAATTAAAACCTTCTCAAGAAGCATGTGGAAAAAAGAGGTTGTTCCTGGTAAAAAGGAAAGTGTACTATACTAGCCTAACTGATTGTTAATCTACGCTCTTCTTGAGAAAATCATCTCATTAGTCTCACTCCATGCTCTCCCAGTTTGCAACTCGGCTCTTGCAAGTCTTTGCAAAAGCCATCCATTGTCTCTGCAACAACTTCTCCTTAGGATCCAATTTCTGGATTTGGAGAACCGGTGCTGTGCTCCATTTTAAATCTTCCCAAAACTTTGATCGTTAAGTTTTCCAAAGTGGGACTCTGAATAAAAAAAGTGTGTTAGCTGGTCGAGCCTTCAAAAGCTAAAAGTTAAGGACGTCACAATAGCAGAACTCTTGTATGTGGACCTGTGGCTCATCAGAACGTCCCTTCGTCGTCTTCTTCTTGCTCGTAGATGGTGTACTCGGTGTCCTCGTCTGTCTCGCCCGCCTTCTGGCCCTGGGGGAATTTCTCAAGCAGAGCTTGCAAGTAGTTCTTCGGGATGTCATGCGAAGGATCTGAGCCAATGTCAAAGAAACAAATGTACAGATTTGCAAAATAGGATACGTGTTGGAACCTCGCTTGGAAAGGTTTGTGTTTTGCTCTGCACACCACCACCAAGTTGAGTGGGAAATGAAGATCGCATTTTGAAAAGATACCTTGTTTTGTAGATTGTCTTCATCCTCTTCAGACTCTTCATCTTCTTCGTCTTCCTCATCCGCCCTCGCTTCGTCGTCTTCTTCTTCCTCTTCGTCGTCCTCGTCATCGTCCCCAGTCAGCACTTCCGGCTGCTTTCCTGCGTTGGTTGTCTCCGAGCCATGAGGAGTTTCTGCTATGTCACCTTCTGTAAACCAGCAGTCAGTCACAAAGAGCAAAGACAGTAGAGAAAACTGCTAAAACCTGCGAACAATGGCTCTGGAAACAAACCAGGGTCGTCCATTGTGTCAATGCTTTTGTCAATATGTCTGAGAGCCCCCCTGTTTCCGCCCCTCCATCCAGCCTTGTTCTTAAACCTTTCAAAATTCTTAGTTTCTGTTTCCTCTAGAGCTCTAGCAGCATCCCCCGGTATCAAGGCGAGGAAACGTAGACGTACGTGCTGCCGCATCCTTTCCAACGTGCCCCGTCGAAACCATCCAGTAGATTCCTGCAGAACAAACAATTAGACCAAGCATTGAAAACACTCACACTACTCACACTACAAGTATTGCGTTCTGGCGGCTTCTCGATCTGAGACTTGATGAAATCGTCTTGCAAATCGTAGAGTTGGAAAAAAGAGAATTTCTTTTGCGGGACCACCTTAAATGCACACTCGTCTCTCCAAAAAGTATTCTCCGCCCTGCGTCAATTTCAGAATAAGAAAGCACAAGTTTATATATTATGCTTACTCTCGTCTAGGAGCTTGCTGTACAGAGTACCTCAGCAACCTCGGCACTCTGAAGTCCAGCATTTGGTACCTGAGCAAACCAAACTATTAGCTCTCGCAACAAGGTCGCTAAAACATACTTCCGTGATGCTGGATCTTTTCGTGGATCGTAGCCGTTTTTTATCCACAGTGTTCTAAACGGACCATAAAGAAAATTGTATGCAAGTCTAAACAAGAGCCTACAACCAACAAACTGCAGAGTTAAAGAGGCGTAAGTGCGACCATTCAGCTCTACCGTTTTAGCATTGAAGGTGTCGGCTCCAAACCTTGATCGTGCAATTTCTGGACGAGTGTTGTTTTCACCCATATTGGTCGCTCTTCAAAACATTTCACCATGGCCTTGTGTAAAGACCATTCTTCTGAATCCTTCACTAGCTTGACCTCCCAGTTCACTGCCTTGGGAACATGTGTGGTAAGTCAAGTCAAAACTCAAAGACAGAAAAAAAAATTAGCTCAGAAAAGGATATCTTTTGCTTTGAAGTCAAGACCAAAGCAAGGTGTAAAATCCATCTGCCAAAAACCATATTCTCAGAACGTAGAAACAGCAAAGAAAAAAGAAGTACCGGATTTTCGACTGGCTTCGCTTTCGAACGATCTGATGGGCGTAGCCTAAAGAATGATAAAAACTCAGCTTCACAATCAAAGCAATGGATCTAACTTACAAAGTCTCCTCTGGCATGTCCTTTATCGAGAATAGTGGAGGAACAAGAATCATGAGGTCCTCCTCTTCCATGTCCATCAAGCTTCCTTTGTCTTCAGTTCAGTGACCTTCATGAAAAAATCTTTTTGCAGAAAAAAGAAAGCATACCAAAGCGCTGTTTAGTCTGCTTGGATTTCTTCTCGCTGGAACCATTCGAATGCACCGCAAGAACATATTGATAGTCCGCCATTCCTACAGGAAAAATGAGATGGGAAGAAAAAACTTTTAGAACAGCGCTCACCATCAAAGACGTAAGAATCTTCCACATGAGCAATTATCTCGGCATCAAGCTCCCGCGAATCTGTTGAGTTCCTCTCATCTCCTTGCTTCGGCGCGGAAATTCGAAGCAAAAGATCCGAAGTCCGGTGTGGCTCACCAAATGCAGGGTGCGAATAAGGATCTTCCGGCCTAAATTTGAGCTCTAGATAGCCAGCATCCGATGCCCGGACCTTAAGAACCACCTTCCTAAGCAAAGAGCAAGAATGGCAGGGGGAGTTACCTTGGCGATTCCAGCCTCGCCGCCCAGCGTTTCCACAGCGCGCTCGATCGAGCTCGGGTAGCCCGGGTATTGCACGGCAAAAACCCGGCGCTCCGGCAAGACGCCGCTCACGCTCCCCTTCACCACGGGCGCCATTCTCAAAATCTTGTATAAACCCTAACTTAGAAGCTGACGTGGAATGCTCTCTTAATCGTTAGAAAGAAAACAATCCAGGCCGTCCATGGCAGTGGTTTAAATCAACCCGTTCATTTCAAAACTTTAGGGCTTTCATCTCAGCGATGGCGTCTTGCAATCTTCGCTTTGTTGGAGGGATGCGCCCTGGCGATCAAGGATTTCAGGTGAAATTACATGGATTTCAATCGAAGGAAGTATTTTCTCTCCACAGCCTCGCAGCGCTCCTCCTTCTCGTGGTTTGGTCGAAGCCAGGCCTCGAAAGCGCCATCGTGTTATCGTCGCGGCTCTTGAAGATGTGGCGTCGGGAATCGCAGTGCTGGGAATCGTTGGAGCTGCCTCGTTTGCATTGGCGAGATTGCAAAAGGGAGCTGCGGATCAAACGAGGGTTCGTCTACTTCTAGTACGATTTTTTGCTATTCTATAAATCTTTGTTGTCTAAACAGGATGATTGTGGAGCTTGTAGTGGCACGGGACTATGCCCACAATGTAATGGACAAGGATTTGTCATGAAAGAGCTTCTTCCTGATGTTGCTGCTAAGGCAAAAAAGAGTGCGAATGCCGCAAAGAGGAATACAGCCGGGTAAACTCGCTGCCTCTTGTTTTTTCGATACTTACGATTTGATATGAACAGGTTGCCAAATAAGTGGAAGTACTGCGTGGCTTGTTCCGGCTCAAGAACATGTCTCGAGTGTCAAGGAAGAGGCTGGAACTTACGATCTTCTTGAAAGTTTTTCGAGCTTTAAAAGCTAAGTTCCAGAGATGTTTGTCTCGAGCAGCTTGTCATTCTAGCTTCCTACTTCTTCGTTTTCACTGACAAGAACACGCAAAATCTGCACAAGCTGGTGAGCTACCTAGTTTTGATGTTTTTACTGACCTGCTTGATCCTCAGCCTTCGCGACGGGTCTTCTTGCAGGCAAAACGCGGCAGCATGAATCATGCACTGTATTTGGTATTCGTCGACGTCAGTCCCAAGCCTCGGGTCCAGCAGTGACTTCGCGTCTCTAACTTCAAGCTTTGGACGAGCCTGGTGAAAAAGATCAGGTAAAAGCTCTAGCTTGCAGTAGCGAATACTCACCCATTCTACCAGGCTCGTCTGCTCGCAAGACAAATCAATCGCTCTGCGGCCAGTGATAATCTCCAGCAGAACTATGCCGAAGGAATAAACATCGGCTTTTTCTGTTGCCACGCCAGTTGCTCCATACTCTGGAGCCACATACCTTTGAATGTCCAGGTATGCCATGTTTGCCATTTTTCACATTTAGTTTAGAGCAGCAGCCTACAAAAAAACCGCTTTGCTTACCCAGTAGCTGCTACTAGAGTCGTCTCCGGTGCCGCCGAGTCATTTTCCCATTTTGCAAGTCCAAAGTCTCCGACCTGTGGAAACTCATCGTGTCATTAGATGTCTCTACTGTCTCTACTCTCGGAAGCTCACAACTGGAGTAAAGTCATGTCTTAAAAGTATGTTGTGTGGCCGTATGTCTCTGTGAATAACTCTGCCTTGTGTGCATTCATGGTGAAGGTAGCGTAGTGCTTTGGCAATACCCACAGCAATGGAATGCCTTGCAGGCCATGAAAGCACAGTAGAGTTTTTTGCTGTGAAGGTTTTAGTGGATGTTATAAGAATTAAGAGTAGAGCTTACCGGAGAGGTGCCAAGCCAGTGTACCATTGCAGACGTATTCATAAACTAGGATTCTCTGACCGTTTTCAGTGCAGTATCCGACCAAGCTGACAACGTTGTCATGGTTTGTGTGTGAGAGAACTTTTATTTCTGCAAAAAACTCCTTATCTCCTTGTGTGCTTTTAAGCTTGTGCCTTTTCACAGCGACTTCGAGTCCTTGTTCCAGTAGAATGCCTTTGAACACATTGCCAAATCCTCCTTCAGACAAAAAGTTGGCTTGCGAGAAGCTGTGAGTTGCTTCCTCGATCTCTGCAAGTTTAAACTCTCTAATTTCTTGTGCATTTCTTGTCTTACAGTAACACCCTGAGCATCGCTTATCGAAATCCTGCTGGGAGAAGACTGGAGTGAACGCTTGAAGGTAAGCCATTTGCTCTAAAAACTAACAAATATGCCCATACATACCATTGTTTGCCGAGGAAAAGGGAGTCAAACCGGTAGAGGAGAGTTTGCGGAGCTCGAATGATGGTCCCACGATAACAGGTTCGGAAAGCTTTACAATTCTTCCTTCGTTGTTGCGGTTCATAAGCACGATATTACACGCTAGATGCTCTGATAAGTATCTCTCGTATCGTTTCAGGTTCCTAAGATAAGCAAAACACAGCGTTTGCAAAAGAAAAAAATAAAACTGGATAAGTTTACTTGTCCAATATCACCCACGAGGCTTGAAGCTTCCTTGTTTCGCTTACTGCTACGACATTGAAGGGACTGCCGGCAACAATCTTCACTTCCAGTTTCACCTACAAAGATATCGGTATCAAATCGTTTTTTCCTTTGCCAGTGTGACTTTGCCTTTTTAACTTTGCAGGCGCTGAAAAAATCATCTGACTTCAACCTGTAGTAGCTTCCCGTCTTTGTTGCTTCCTCCTCGAGAGATTTGACATTTACTCCATTGAACGATGTGAAGTCTACCTTGGATCTATATCCCACTACGACAAAACAAGGTACATTTATTTACGGAAGGAGAACTAAACTTAGAAATCAAAGCTTTCAGAAACGCCTCCTCATTCTTACTTGGTGTGAGAACTTCGTGGAGTATGCCAAGAAGAGTGACGAGAGTTCCTGGCTGGACAACTCGATCCAAGGTCCACGACACAGCAGCGTCAGAGAGCTCTCTCAAGGTGTCGAAGATTATCACAACACCATAAGCCATCGCTTCTTCTTGTTCTTCCATTGTCACTTACTTTCGTTCTTTGTTTTCTCTACAGCTTTTAAATCATAGACAACGGATTGAGCAAAAATCGAAGATGGATATGCGAAAGATCCCTGGATATTTGTTTAAACACTACAGGCTTTTCAAGATAAGTACGGGAGCCACGTATGCGTGGAAAATTAAGCTGAAAATTTTGGAAGGCTTTGAAGCCCTCGTCGGCGCCGGCGAGAATGCGACGGCCACGGCGCTAAGGTCTGACGGTACCTTGGCACGCTAGCAGCAATGCGCTGCTCCAGATCAAAGATCTGATGTTCTTCCAGCTCTACGGTAGGATTTCTTTCTTCTCCTTCCTAATTTTTTGATTGAATCCTCGCAGGAACTCCCTCTAGAGAACCGAATGACGATTTTCTGTGTTCCTCGTCTAGATCGATGGCTAGGCCTCTCGGCAGCGATGATAATGATGGTAATCGATCTTACTAGAAGTTAAGCTCTTATTTTGTGTTATATTTTGTCTGCAAATACAGGGCTGTGCCGGATTGACATACACGTATGCTGTTTACAGCGAGCATATGAAGCAAAGGTTACATTTTTCACAGGAAGATATCGATGATATCGGTGCTGCCAAAGATCTGGGAGGAGTTGTGGGACTTCTTTCCGGGCTTTTGTACAATATGTATCCTCCCTGGGTGACGATAGGAATTGGAGCTGCCTTGCATTTCTTTGGCTACACAATGGTCACTAGCTGTTCTCCATCTTTTCACGTTTCTCAATTTCCTGGATTTTGTAGGTTTGGATGACTGTAGCAGGCAAGGTTGCCCCTTCGTTCTGGCTGGTATGTTTTGCGTGTTTCGTATTTTAAAAATTGTCCTGAACAGTTTCTTGTTTCTCTGGAAAGAAAGTTGTGCATGTATTCTGCCGTGGGGAATGGAGGAGATAACTGGATTGACACAGCCTGCATGATGACAAGGTACACAACATGGTGTTTCTTATGATTCTATCGAGTTCTCTTAGCTTGCAGAACTACGAAGAGCAAAGAGGGACGGCAATGGGGATATTGAAAGCACAGCTTGGTCTTAGTGGTGCGATATTTGTCATGGTAAGAAAGCCTTGATACATTTCAAAAAAGTAATCTCTTATTGGTATTTCTAGATTTACGAGGTGTTTCTTGAGCCAAATGTGAATCAGTTCTTACTGCTTATGTCACTGGTTCCTACACTGGCCTACGTTTTGCTGGCGTTTTTTGTTAGGCCTTTCGATCACACAGAGGATGAAGATCCATCGGCTGCTCCTCGTTTCAAGATGGCATTTGTAAGTCAATCCCATGTGAAAGTTTTGTGTTAAGTCGTTCTGCAGATCACCGTTCTCGTGCTTGGAATTTTTATGATGGTTTCATTGGCTTCGAAGGTACAAAACTTTACTCTTCAAGAAAAAATTCATTTCCACTACCGCAGGAATATTTTAAAGAAAGCAAGGTCTTACAACTTATGACCATTACTGTCATGCTATCAATCATGCTACTAATGTACACTATCCCAGTTAAGTCATCGGTGTATCACCTACGAAATCTGACTCCTTTGAATTGCGATACCACAGCTGATTCGATTTCCTAGGAAGTTTTTCCCACCGTCTTCTGAAGGCATTGATCTTCCAAAGCTAGAAACAAAGGCATCTGATCTTCAAGACGCTGAAGAAGAAAGATTAAATCTCTTAAAAACGGGGACCGACCCTTCTCAAGTTTTGACATATAGCCAGATTGCCACCCCAGCCGCAGCTTCTACTACACTCAAAGACGCTCTCGCAGACTTCAATTTCTGGTAAACAAACAGTTCATATCAAAACTTCAACTTAACGAACGAAGTCTGCTCCAACAAGGTTGATTTTCCTTGTCGTGACGATTGGAGCAGGAACTGGTGTGGCAATAATCAACAACCTTGCTCAGGTCATTTTCAGTTTCTTGAGATCTTCTCTCATTATTAGTTCTTTGTTTCGCAGATAGGAAAGTCACTTAGAGCTGGAGGAACTGATATTTATGTTGGTCTGATCAGCGTCTGGAGTTGTTTTGGTCGACTCGGATCGGGGTACTTTATTTCCTCATAAAAAACTACTCTTCATGCTATGTCTTTGCAGGTATGGGTCGGATCTTCTGATGCGGCGTGGCTATCCGCGAACTCTGTGCCTTCTCATTGATCAGATGATCATGGCTCTGTGTTGTTTGCTTCTTGCTACTGGATGTAAGTTCAGACTGAGCCCGTTTATCTAAACAAACAACTCTTTTGGGTTTTGCAGTGATATCCTCGTTATTTATCGGCTCTGCGCTCACGGGACTTTCATATGGAGCATACTGGACGCTTATTCCAGCAATTCTATCCGAGGTGTTTGGCGTCCACAACTTCACAGTCCTCTACAAGCTCGTCTCGTAAGTCCCTATGGAAACTCTCTCGTTCTCTTATACGCTTTGTTACCCAGGCTTGGTCCGCCTCTTGGATCATACATCCTGTCAGCCAAAGTGATGGGATCCCTCTACGACGAGGAAGCCGCATTGTATCGTCAGAAAAGTGGTGGAGCCAGTGTGTCAGCCGGCGGTGACGATCTTAACAATTGCTATGGCTCCAAATGCTTTGGCTTTGGCTTGGTAGCACTCGCTCTCGTTAGCTTGATTGGAGCCGCCGCCAGCTTCCTCCTCTTTCTGGGAACAAGACGAGCCTACCACAAAAACCAAGTCAAATAGAAGTGGCCCAGTACGTCACAAGAAAAATCTTCGTTTTTGCTACAAGAAGCTTTATCAGATTCCATCCCGCGCTCTTGTTTGTGGGTTTAGTGATTGATTCTTGCTAGTATGCCTTTGAACACATGGCTAAATCCTCCTCCAGGCAAAAAGTTTGCTTGTGAGAAGCTGTGAGTTGCTTCCTCGATCTCTGCAAGTCTGATTTCTTGTGCATTTCTTGTCTTATTCACACCCTGAGCATTGCTTTCAACTCCTGCTGGGGTAAGACTGGAGTGAATGCTTGAAGCTGAGTCATTGGCTCTAAAAACAAACATGCCCATACATACCGAGGAATCTAGAGAAGAGTCGAATTATGGTTATACCCACAATTATGGTTAAACAGGTTCGGAAAGCTTTTTTGTTCCTTCGTTGCTACAGCATTCGAAACTGTTGCCTCTCTTTTATCTTTTACGTCTCGTTCCCAGGTAACTTACAGGTTTACCACCTTCGAAAAGCTCACAGACGAGCAAGATTGTCTGCGTTACACGAGGGTGATCTCTGGGATCGCAAGATTTTGTACGGTGATAGAGTTCTCTGTTGGAAGCTGGATGCTGTCAAGGCTCATTCTTGAAAAGGAGCTGACTAAGGAGTTTCAGGATCTCGAATCGCAAGAACAAACGTGAGAGGAGAAAAAAAAAACACCAGAAAAGATGGAGACAAACGCCTGTCGTGTTTCGAGTCTGGAAGAATCTCCAGGAATGTGCCAGGAACCGAGAGCGCTGCCCAGAGGCACAGCGCCGAGCTCACCAAAACTTCGACCAAAATCTGCGAAGGCAGGCGCTTGTTGATATAGAGAGATGGATCACAGAGGATCTGTTTAGTGATAATTTGTTAAGTATATTGTGGCTTAAAGTATGACTTTAGTCAATTTATTTTATGACAAATTCTAATCAAGGGCTTTTAGATATGGTGAAGGTAAAGGAGTCGCATAGAGGGCTTGGGGGTGGCTGGGAGAGATCTGATGGCTTAACAAGTCGGAGAAGAAATGAGCAAACACCAGTTTTCGCCGTGCAATACCCGGGCTAGAGCTATCGAGCGCACTGTGGCGGCGAGGCTGGAATCCATTCTTTGTTCTTTGCTTAGAAAAGTGGTTCTTGCTATCTAGAGCTCAATTTTAGGCCGGAAGAACCTGCATTTACCGGACTTCGGATCTGGAATCGCAGTGCTGGGGATCGTTGGAGCTGCCTCGTTTGCACTGGCGGATCGTTCTTTTTTTGCTCTTTTATTAATCTCTGTGACTAAACAGGAGGCAAGGGACTATGTCCACAATGTAATGCAAGGATTTGTCATGAAAGGGCTTCTTCCTGATGTTGTTGCCAAGGCAAAAAAGAGTGCGAAATGCCGCCAAGAGGAATACAGACTTCTTTTTTACTGCGTCCGGCTCGAACTTGCGATCTTCTTGAAAGTTTTTCGAGGTTTAAAAGCTAAGTTCCAGACCAGACATTTGCAAAGAGAGGGTTCCCCAAGCTCCTGACAGTCCTAAACCTTGCCGAGCAGCTTTTTACTTCTTTGTTTTCGCTGATAAGAGCACGCAAAATCTGCAAAAGCTGGTGAGCTATGGAATTTTCATGTTTTTACTGACCTGAACGATGCTCAGTCTTCGCGACGGGTCGTCTTGTAGGCAGCATGAATCATGCGCTGAATTTGGTATTCGTCAACGTCAGTCCCAAGCCTCGGGTCCAGCAGTGACTTCGCGTCTCATATTCAAGCTTTGGACGAGCCTGGTGAAAAAGATGAGGTAAAAGTTCTACCGTGTCATAGTGATTACTCACCCATTCCACCAGGCAATCACTCTGCGGCCAGTGATGATCTCCAGGAGAACTATGCCGAACGCTTTTTCTGTTGCCACGCCAGTTGCTGCATACTCTGGAGCCACATATATGCCATTTTTCACACCTAGTCTAGACTCTAGAGCAACAGCCTACAAGGAATCTATGGAATTTTCATGTTTTTACTGACCTCTTTTGCTTACCCAGTAGAGGCTAAATTCCAGTGATATCCTCGTTATTTATCGGCTCTGCGCTCACGGGAGCATACTGGACGCTTATTCCAGCAATTCTCCTCTTTCTGGGAACGACAAAACCAAGCAAAATAGGGTGACGTACCACAAGAAAAATCTTTGTTTTAGGCTTCAGGGTTTGGAGAGTGAGAGTGAGAGTGACAGTTCATTCTTGTACAAGAAGCTTCACCCATTTCTCAGGTTCCATTGGCGCTCTTGTTTGGGTTTAGTGATTGATTCTTGCGGGGAGGGTGCAAAGAGCGATTGCAGGCAGCTGTGTGATTGAGGGAGCGCAGCATTTCTTTGGCAGCAGCGAGCGCAGCACTGATCGCCCAGCACGTAGCAGCTAGCAGCCAGTGAAAGAGCGTGTGCGCAAGTGGGATATTCTACATTCAGCTTGCATTTCAAGGGCAAAAGTACAATTACTTTGTGTTGATTACCTTTATAACTTTTTCTTTTCTAGCTATGAAGTCTTGGGATGGACGTGGTTGTGGAGGGCACAAGCATTTAGCTGAGCAATTTGCTCAGTTTCTTGGTGATAATGCATTGGTGGTGAAACTTTCACCCACACACTTTTGTTCATATCAGTTCATACTAATAAGTTTGTATACATTTTTGCAATTTATATTCTAATGCCTCTTTTCTTTTGTGTAGAGTATAAAAAAAGTTGGGGCTTACAATGTTTGGATATACAAAACATATAGTGGATGTGACTTGTGGTGATAGTGGTATATAATTTTAAGTGAGTATTAACTGTTTTATTAATACTTTTTTTTTTGCTTTTACAGGAGAGACATTTAAATTTCAATGGAGTGGCCGGAAGGAATTTATGGTAAGCAATGATTGGATGGACTTTTGTGATGATCGTGGGCTTAATATTAATGACTATATTACCTTACATCCAAATAGCATGTATATTTGTGCTTTTTCAGCTGTTATTTGCATTAAAGTATATGATATAAATCTTTAGTATATTACAACTGTTTTACACAGTTTACCATAAATTTAATATTGTTATAATAAAGTGATAAATAGCTAAACTATTATTAGTACTTAAATTTTATATACTTTTGTTAATATATTAAATTTTATTTATCATTTATATATGATTGAAGGGCAATAAATTTAAGTATGCAAGTTCTTGGAATATGGAAAGGGAATACAAAAAATGTGCATATCAATTAACCCAAAAACCCTAGCTTATATACAGGAGCAAGTGGTCCGGATTGAAACCAATTCGACGAATACCAAAATCTTACTACCCTAATATTAGTATACAACATCGTAGTTATACACTTGGCCCTCACATCATCACCTCTTCTCGAAATAATGGAAAACCATCAGGCTTCTCTTATAAATGGGCCAGGATCTGGAGGAACATCAGGAGGAGGCATTGGTGGATTTTTAGGTGGTATTAACTGCTTTTGATCCTTTTGTATGAAGCATTTCAACTACTACACATGCACAATTTCTGGAGGATCAGCCTACTGGATATCATGCCAAACCTCATAAACTTGTGGTCCCACTTGCCGCAACACCTAATACGGTCATTTCCACTGAGCAAGAAGCCCCTTACACAAACCACGTACTATAAGATAGGGAAAATGGACTAACACCAAGTCATCCAGTTTGTACTCCACAGGTGGACGATGATGGGAGTTGTAGCGCCGTTGTTGTCCCACTTGTACACAGCCTAAGTGTTCGATAGACTCTGCTTGGACAAGTGGAAGAATGCTCATCAAATACTAATCCCATGACCTAACATCGGTAGCTCATAGCAATTGCGAAGGTAAACCCAACTCCGTTGGTGATATTGGATCATGACCATATAGGAGTTTATATGGTGAAGCACCAAAAGAACTTTGCACCCCCATGACATATGTGTAAGCCACAAATTTTTCCTTTCCAATTTGCCAACTTACCTTGTCTATCCGACCAACACCGCCTTGGCTTGTGCTAAGTTCCCTCGCCAAGGTTCCCGCCTATTGTACCAGCTCTTACTTGGTCCTACTTGGTTTCAGCTACTCACTGCACGAGCAACAGAGTGTTAGCCATCCATCTACAGATTCCCAAATCTCTCCCAATCCCCCTCCCGGGTTAGACTGGACTTAAGGTTCGGTTACACTCCCCATAGGCACAAGCAACCAAGCACACCAAGCCTCCAGGTTCCTAACCCCCTTGGTACATCAAGACTTGATCATGGGACCCTCTAAATCCCAAGCCTTGGGTGTAGCACTTATGTACCTCTACCCCCCCACTTCCATCCCGAAGGGAAGGCCCAAGCCCCTAAGAAGGGCGAGGACCAATGAGCCACAAGGTATTCAAGTGGGGCACCACTCCATATGAGCTGGGAGCACCGTAGTTGGTTTCCCTTTCGAGAGTGGGAGCTGCTCTTGAGCACTTCCCTGGGTGGCCCCTCCGGCACCACCCAAGCCCATGCTCACTCCCACCCAAGGCCCTTTGGCCCCGTTTTTAACCCAAAATTTTTTGGGAACCCCCCCGGGGGGGTTCCCCCAAAGGGGGTTTTGGGCCCCCCATTTCCCTTATTTCCCGGGGAGGCCCCCCCCCCCCCCCCCCCCCCCCCCCCCCGCCCTGGGAGACGCACGCTTTGGGCTTTCACCCCTTGACCCGTATTAGTATTTGGACTTAGTCTCAGATTCGATCTCGGACTCGATCTCAGACCCGACTTCGGACTCGGTCTCGGACTCAATTTCAGACTCGATCTCGGTCTCAGACCCGATTTGGATCTCGGACTCTGTCTCAAACTCGGTCTCAAACTCGGTCTCCGATTCGGCCTCGGCTCGATCCCGGACTCTATCTCGAACTCGGTCTTAGAGTCGGTCTTGGACTCGATCTTTGACTCGGTCCCATCCGATGAACTCTTTGTCATTTTGGTCATGCTTTCAGGGATCCTTTAGCCTATGACATCTCGGGGAGTTGGTTCCTTACAACTCCACCACCCATAGAAGAAGTTTGATGCCCACATCGAACGTCTCTTTTTATCCTACGACTTGTTGACCATGTCTCCGGGGGCATCCCCCCACTTAGCGGTGTGCGTAAGTTAGCCTCCCCGGCCAAGAGCCCATGACAACGGAGTATAGGTGTCCCTATACTCCTCACCTCACCATGCCCTAGTATGGGGTCAGGACTTGAACCTAGCCTTGCTTTACTAAGGGGTTGGGACTCGAACCCAACCTCCATAGAATACATCTACGGATTCGACATCCCTGCGGGGAGTTGGGCGTAGTGCCCTACGCTTGGTCGACCTAGCTAATTAGCTTACCTTCGGCGTGCCTTCGGGTCCCAACATATGCCACTTGCTCAACTTTGCAAATTGATATTTTTAATTGAACTTTGCATAAGTACATAGAGTTCTGCCTTGCAGAAATTCCTCCACTAGATCTCACGCGTTCGCTAGGTTCTCCTCTGGTTCCCATATTGCTTCGTAGTGTGGAAATCCTTTCCACTTCACATGGAACTCTTTCACCTCGTGTCCTTGTCGCTTGCTCTTGCGCGCATTGAGGATGGCCTCGACTTCGTATTCCTCTTCCCCTTGGATAACCTCAGGTAAAGGTCTTACTTGGTCCTTGCAAAGTGGATCCTCAAAGTACGGCTTAAGTAAGTTCACATGGAACACTGGGTGCATCTTCCCCATCTCTCGAGGAAGTCGGAGTTGGTAAGCCACTTTACCAATTCGTGCCTCAATCTCGTAAGGCCTTGCGAACCTGCTTAAGGAACTCAAGATCAATTCATTTACAGGAATACATGCATTTTTACCTTTGGGTCAACTTCCGGCTGATCCCACTTGGTAGCCTGAGGTTCTTGGTGTTTAGCCACACCTTCTCCCCATCTTGGAACTCTACATCCCGGCGCTTTTGGTTCGTGTACTTAGTTTGCCTTTGTTGAGCCCGTTCCAAGGAATCCCTCACTAGATTCCAAATGTTGAGCCTTTCCGCTGTGAATGCCTCCACTACGGGTAGCTCTCCATTGTAAGCAACCAAAGGGAACGACTCGAGAGACGATCCATAGGGGTTCAAATATAGAGGGAAAGGGCCCATGAACAAGAGTGCACCCCCTTTTCTAATTGGTTAAGGGTCTTGGGATATTTAGAGTTAAGCGTCCTTGGGTTTGAATAGTACTGGGCTGGGTGACCTCCCGGGAAGTCCAAACTCAGGAGCTTACATTTGGTATCAGAGAGGTCTCGGGTCCGACTCTGTTGGTTGGCTAGGGGAATCGCACCACATGTTGATTGACATCTGGCTGGTCCAGTTTGCTCCCACTGGGCTCGACCCGAGGGGTAGGGTGTCAAGAGAGCGGGGCTCTCGGGAGAGCTGCGGCTCTCAGCTTCCGTTCACGAGGGCGTGAACTTGCAGGGAAGCGTGGTGGATTGTAAGCAACCAAAGGGAATGACTCGAGAGACGATCCATAAGGGTTCAAATATAGAGGGAAAGGGCCCATGAACAAGAGTGCACCCCCTTTTCTAATCGGTTAAGGGTCTTGGGATATTTAGAGTTAAGCGTCCTTGGGTTTGAATAGTACTGGGCTGGGTGACCTCCCGGGAAGTCCAAACTCAGGAGCTTACATCCATGATACTCAGCCAAGCCGAGTTCCACAGGACCTTCAATAGCTCGCCCATTGATGACTTCCCATGGACTCACCCCGATACTCGAATGTGGTGAGTTGTTATAACACATTTCCACAAGTCCCAAATGACTTACCCATTCGGTCTGGTCTCCCGAAACATAGCATCACAAATAATCCTCCAGCTGCCTATTCACCCTTTCTATTTGTCGGTCTGTCAAGAAGTGTTAGTGCCACCAAACTTGACTTAATACCCCATACCTGTTTGTGGGTGATAGGCTGTGCTGAATTTCAACTTGGTGCGATAGTGTTCCAAGAGGGTCCTCTAGAACCTACTAGTGAAGATCTTATCTCGATCTGAGATGATCTCTTCTGGCCTTCCCCGCACTCGAACCACTTGTTCGAAGAACAGCTTCGCCACACCTTCCGCATCCACTTCCATTGTGGTGGGTATGAAATGTGCCATTTTTGAAAATCGGTCCACCATCACGAATATCGCATCAAACCCCTCGCTTGGGGGGAGTCACGTGATGAAATCCATCGTAAGACATTTCCACGGACGATCTGGAATTGGGATGCTTTGCAACAAGCCCCCACTAGCCTTAGTCACGGCTTTGACCTGCTAACATGTTGGACATGTCTTTACATAGTCTTGAACGTCCTTAGCCATATCGGGCCAATGGTACATCCGCTTAAGTAAGCCCATTGTCTTGGGCACTCTGCCATGTCCCGCAAGGGGTCTGTCATGACACTCTTCTAAGGCTACCTTCCTTAGTTCCCCTTCTGGAAGATACACCCTCGTTTGCTTGTAATAGATGAGTCCATTGCGTTCCGCATAGCCCGTTTTTTCTTCCGTTGGCAGCTCACCTCTCTGGTGAGCTTCCCGTGCCTCTAGATTCCTCAGCAACACTTCTTGTGCTAGACCATCATTCTCATATGCTGTCCGCACCTCGTCCCAGAAGGTTGCTGTTGTGCTGGATATCGCCAACCTCAAGCTCACTTTTCGACTGAGCGCATCTGCCATGATGTTGCTCTTCCCAGGCTTATACGACATCTCGTAATCAAACTCGGCCAAGGCATTGGCCCACCGACCTTGTTTCCCTCTCAGATCGGGCTGTGACAAGAAGTGTTTCATTGCCACATTATCCGTGTAAACCTTGAAGTGTCTCCCAATGTAGTGTTGCCATTCCTTGAGCGCCTTGACCATCGCAAACAATTCCTTCTCATGGGCAGGCCACTTCCTTTGAGCCTTGTCCAACTTCTTCGAGAAGAACACTACTGGATGGTTGTCTTGCTTTAAAACTGTGCCCAACGCAA